TAACTTCCCACAGTCACTTATGTAGCAAGCAAACTTCAGGAAATATTGAACTACCGTATTTTCTGGCGTATAAGATGACTTTTGAAACGAAAAAACAGTCAACCGAAAATCGGGGGCAAAAGACCAAAATTGCACAAAAATTACCTGCAGATCTTGACGGCAAAGTAAGTCTTTTTTTTTTTTTTTTTTTTTTTTTTTAAGTGGAGGGTAGTCTTATACAGCGAATATAGGCCTAAACCTATGTTATAACTGTAAAATTAGGGGGTCGTCTTATATGCCAGAAAATACAGTAGCCTCCGGCTCTCTATCACACCAGTGATGAGGCTCAGACAGGTTCAGAAAGAGAGGCTCTGTGTGAGTTGCCCCAGCCTGAGCCTACACTGCCACCTCCTGGCCAGCTCTGCCCTGCTGCAGGTTTAACTGGATCAAAAGTCCCCTCTGCCACCTGAGCTTGAGTCAGAAGGTCACGTGGGCAATATGCAGGCATTGCCCTTTGATCCACACACCTGAAGGACCCCCTCCCTGATAGGGATGGCTCAATGAAACCCCTCAGAATTAGAATTGGGGAAGTAAACTCTCTGTCCCCAAATGCCACAGAATGTACCCCCACCGACAGAAATGTTTACTTTGAAAGAAAAATACTTAACTAAGCATTTAGATTATTCTTGCATTGGGCTCTCCTTTAGGAGGGAAAATTGAATGGTACTTATATTAACAGACTGGTTCTCAAACAGGATGCCTCATGGAACTAGTGAAAAACACAGATTCCCAAACTCCATTCCAAGCCTGCCAGGTCAGTCCCACAAGTATCATTTCTCCTCGGGGTTACTTGCTGGCTACCTTTCCCCAAGCCCCAAAGTCTCTGAGACCATGTAGAATCCCACTTTGCCATCTTAAGCAAAGGCAATGTCTTTCCATTTGGGCTTTTAGTAGAAAACTATGCTATTTTACAACTCTGTAAATTATAGGTAATTAAGAGCAATGCAAAAAAAAAAAAAAAGTTCTTGTTTGATCCACACATCTGAAGGACCCCCTCCCTGATAGGGATGGCTGACAACATCCACATGCAGAGCTGATCCTGTCCAGTAGAGGTTCAACTGATGCTGCTTTCCCCCTTTGGGATAAATCAGTTTTGCCTTCATCTCATCATTCCTGACCTACAACGGGCCTGTCTGCTGAGAACCAAGATCCATGGTAATTAATGTCAATGCGCAAATGCGAGAAGTCTCAACAGAAGGCTGAATTGGGCTCTTTGAATATTCACAGGGTGAATATTTGCATTTTATTACCTCCTGCTGACTCAATGGCCTAGAGCAAACTCCCCCGACCTGATAATCTTACTGTGTACCTGATCATTGATATGTCTGTTTGCATTCCTAAAAGGCAATAGTGCATTCTAGATAGTAAATAAAAGCAGATGGGAACCAGACTCGGTGGAACCTGGCGACTACAGCTAAGTGTTTTCTGGCTTCCCCCATCATTTCCAAATTTATATTTCCTGTCTTGTGTATCCATCTGCACAGCAGTTTTTTTCTCCAAGCTTTTGAACCCAAGGCCACGCTAGCTGGCCGTGGCTTCACACCTGTCCTTAAGATTCTCTCCCGAACCTGTTGTATAACATCTGCCTGATTCTCTCAGGGACTTTTGAGTTTAAGGAAATCTTTAGCACATGTTCGTGATTTTACCTGTTTTGGAAAATGAGCTTGGATGCATCTTGGCAAATATTTTCCTTTGCTCGACGCGGGCCGTCTGCCATGGTGTGTGCTCTTTGCGTTGGTGGAACACTGGCGTTTCCTCAGGAAAGGGCTCCTGCCCCTGGGACCTTCCACAGATGCATCGTGTATGTCCAAGGGCTCCTGGAAAAACAGTGAAACGATAAAAAAAAAAAAAAAATTTTAAAAATGTAGTTCCAGAGAGGGTTGGACCTGCATCACCACCATTTGGCCACCATCCATAACTGAAATATCATGGCTGACAGGCACACATAAGGAACTGTTTGACATTGAAATTGGATCTCCAAAGAACTGATGGCCCAGAAAGAAATTCAGTGCAGACTGATTCATATGCCTTTCAGCATACCCATTATTGCTTGTCTCATTTTTGATTCTTATAAGTGTATTTCCAATAGGACATGATCTCACCCATCTAGGGGAAATGGTGAACAACATAGACTTCTTGAACAAGAACAGACCCAGAGATAAGGAGCCATGGGTCAGACTGTTGGACCTCAAAGGGAGGGTGCGGATAAAAGGGAGAGATCAACCGAAGGACTTATGTGCATACATATGAGCCTAACCAATGGTTAAGGACAATAGGGGGGTGGGGCATGAGTGGGGGGAGGATGGGGTATTGGAATGGGGGCTGAGGACAAATGTGTGATACCTTAATTAATAAAGAAAAAATTTTAAATGTAGTTATTTTGTTGTTAATCTTCACTTGAGGATATTTTTTTCACTGATTTTTGTTTGTTTTTAGAGAGAGGGGAAGGAAGGGAGGGAAGGGCAAAGAGAAAGAAAGAGAGAGAGAAACATCAATGTGAGAGAGACATATTGATTGGTTTCCTCCTGTACGAACCTCAACTGGGCCGGGAATTGGCCAATGCTCCAACCACTGACCGACACCGGTCAGAGCCAAAAAAAACATTATATTATTAACTAAGGCAAAAGAGAGGCTAGGACATTGGCTCCTAACCTCATCCACAAATACTAAAGTAAAAGCACAGAAACTAAAATTAAATAAACCCATCCAATTTTCATTGGGCTAACTCACAACTGCCTTGCTGATTTGTTTAATTGCTCCTTCTGTACTTGCATAGATTGACTTATTAAAAATTACAAATATTAGTCCATGGCCAGCGGCTCAGTTGGTTAGCACATCGTCCTATGCACTGAATGGTCACAGGTTCAAAGTCCAGTCAGGGTACATACAGGAGGCAGATGGACCAATGTTTCTCACTCTCTCTCTCTCTCTCTCTCTCTCTCTCCCTCCCTCCCTCCCTCCCTCCCTCCCTCCCTTCCTTTCTCTAGAATAAATGAAAACATATCCTCTGGTGAGGATTTTTTTTTTATTACATATATTATATTATGCCTGGCTGATGTGGCTCAGCGGTTGAGCATCGACCTATGAACCAGTAGAGGGCGTTAAGGAGGCAGCTGATCAATGATTCTCTCTTATCATTGATGTTTCTATATATCTCTCCATCTATGAAATCAAGTTTTAAAAAATTATATATATATATATATATATATATATATATATATATATATATATATATAAAAGAAAGGGGACAAAAACAAAAACGTAAGGCCCACAGAGTCCCAGTGATGTCAAAGAGCAGGTGTGAGTGGAATGCAGGCAGTGGTGTGCAGGAACCAGCTCACACCAGCTACTGAGAGCCAATTATTCACTTTTCAGGAATTTTGTGAGCCAGTTGTTAAACCATTAGTCACTGGAAATTGGACATGGAGAGAGTACTGACACCATGGAAACACGGTGCTTAAAATTTCAGAAAAGGAAAGTTCTGTGTGGTGATAACATGTGACAGACTCCTGATTGTCCCCCACCGTCCACTCTCCCCCTCACTCTCCTATCATAACCCCCCTCCAGTTTTTAGCTGGGTTCCTATGCAGTTACCTATGGTCCTGTGACTATCTTCTGGCCAACACACTGTGAGCAGAAACTGTCTGTAACTTGTGGGTCTCACTCTTAAAGGAACAGAGAGAACCATTCTGGCCCCCATTTTCCCCCTTCCTGTGGGCTGGGATATAGATACAGCGGCCAGGCATCTTAGACCTTGCCGATGAGGGTGACACGTGGGAGCCTTCAGTGCACAGGCCGAAGCTCTATCATTTTTAAAACACTTATCAGGAGGCTGAAACCGGTTTGGCTGAGTGGATAGAGCCTTGGCCTGCAGACTGAAGGGTCCCGGGTTCAATTCCTGTCAAGGGCATGTACCTTGGTTGCGGGCACATCCCCAGTGGAGGGTGTGCAAGAGGCAGCTGGTGGATGTTTTTAGCTCTCTATCCCTCTCCCTTCCTTTCTGTGAAAAATCAATAAGATATTAAAAAAACAAAAACATTTGTCAGGGGCTATTGCAATATACCAGTATGACCTGGCCTCAGCTCCCCTACAGCCCAGCTGTGCTAGGAGAGCAGGAGGGAGACAGGCACAGCTGGCTCAGGGCTGGGAGCGCCCTCTGGGGAAGTGAACCTGAGGGGAGGGCGCCTGGAGAGAGAGCTCCCTCCCTAGGCCGCGCACTGGTGGGTTCCCGGAGGGGTACCTCGGGGCTGACGGTGGCCGGCTCCCGGGGTGGCCGGCAGAGAGGTCCTCCGGTTTCCAGCCGGCTCTCTGAAGCGGGCGCCCGGCCGCGCCCAGCAGCGCCTCCTGCCGGCGGCGCGCGCAGGGGCCGCCCTCCGGGCCCGCGGCGTGTGCGTGCAGGTGAGCGCCCGCCCCGCCCTCCCGCCAAGCCCCGCCTTCCCGCCAGGCCCCGCCCTCCAGTCAGGCCCCGCCCTCCAGTCTGGCCCCGTCCTCCAGTCAGGCCCCGCCCTCCAGTCAGGCCCCGCCCTTCAGTCAGGTCCCGCCCTCGAGTCAGGCCCCGGCCTCCAGTCAGGCCCCGTCCTCCAGTCAGGCCCCGCCCTCCAGTCAGGCCCCGTCCTCCAGTCAGGCCCCGTCCTCCAGTCAGGCCCCGTCCTCCAGTCAGGCCCCGCCCACCAGTCAGGCCCCGTCCTCCAGTCAGGCCCCGCCCTCAAGCCCCGCCCTCCAGTCAGGCCCCGTCCTCCAGTCAGGCCCCGTCCTCCAGTCAGGCCCCGTCCTCCAGTCAGGCCCCGCCCACCAGTCAGGCCCCGTCCTCCAGTCAGGCCCCGCCCTCAAGCCCCGCCCTCTAGTCAGACCCCGCCCATTGCGCCCCGCCCTCCCGCCAAGCCCCGCCCCGGCCCGCCCCGGCCACCTGCCGGGGAACCTGTGCGGGTTGTCGTTCTCGGGTCGTTCCGGGGCGGGACGCGATGGAAGATCCGTCGGGGACTCGCGAGCCCAGGACGCGGCCGAGAGACCCAAACAGGCCCCCGCGCTCGGACCGAGACCGGCGGCCCGAGCGACAGCAGGACCGGCACCGCGAGCGGCCGCGGGACGGAGCGGGGGACCGGCGCCGGGAGAAGAGGGGCGGCGAGCGGAGGGAGCGGGACCGGGAGCGGGACCGGGAGCGGGACCGGGATCCCCACCAGGACAGACGCAGGGCCGGGGACTACCGCCATGGGGAGCAAAGAGTTTTGGAGAAACCCCGCCAGAGTCGGACGCGGAACGGAGCCCGGAGGCCCACCTGGGACGCGGCCCCGCCCCCCTGGCCCGCGCCCTGGGAAACCCCGGAGTCGCCGCCCTACAGGAAGGAGGGCTACGGGCGCCGCGGACAGGAAAGGTGAGTTGGGGCCCGGGGGGGCCCCCCCGAGACCCGCGCCGGTCTAAAGAGTGCAGCTGCTGGCGCTCTTTGGGGTGACCTGGGCTGGAAGGAGAACCTTAGGGAGCCCCCACTTCTTGACCTGAACCCGATTAATAGAGCAGAGGCCACGCCTGTTAGCAGAGGCGGAGCCGGGGGACCAGGTTAAGAGACCGAACCTCAAGGAAGGAAAGGGAAGGAGGATGAGGAGGAGGTGAGGTAGCTGGAGTTGAACCCCCACCACCTAGTCACATTCTTAGGGTTTCACACCCTTTTCCTGTGTTCCAGAACCAGCCTTCCCAAAAGTCCCCGTTTCCTGGAGGCCAGGACCTAATAAAGTCAGCCTGGTTACTAGTTTAATGTGTAATCCCTTCCAGGGATATACGTATTTCAAAAACATAGCTGAAGGAAGCTACACTTTTAACCAAAGAAGGAAATCTACCAAAAACTGCCCATTGAAGGGCAAAGATTTCTTACCCCACACACACACCCCAACCCACCCCTTTGTCCGTGAGGTCTTCCTGGGCAGCCTCCTTCAGAGGCCATGATTGTTTCAGACACCTCCCTTTTGTCTGAGCAAACTTTGCCGCCCCTGCCTGGTAGAACACCAAGTTGCCATCAACCCCGTGAGCTGAAAGCAGGGTAATGTGTGCTAGTCCAGTGGTCGGCAAACACATTAGTCAACTGAGCCAGATATCAACAGTACAACGGTTGACATTTCTTTTGAGAGCCAAGTTTTTTAAACTTAAACTTCTTCTAATGCCCCTTCTTCAAAATAGACTGGCCCAGGCTGTGGTATTTTATGGAAGAGCCACACTCAAAGGGCCAAAGAGCAGCATGTAGCTCGTGAGCCACAGTTTGCGGACCACGGTGCTGGAAGCCTGTGAGCTGGGAGAGGGCGGGAATGGGAGGGAGGACAGGAGGAGGTCCTAGCACATCTCATGCAAATCCACCAATGCCCAGGGTGCCTGCCAGTCCAACAGGGAAGCACACAGGACCTGCCGCGATGACTTCCTTCTGGGTTTTGACACCTGCCCACTTCTCTCAGGAAGGAGGCAGGCTCCTCTCTGCTTGTGGGGCTCCTGGGGTTAGGCCTCGTCCCTCCACCTGTTGTGTTCACATAGCGGGAAAGCTGCTATCCCGAGGTCCCCTGACGTTATCTAAAACCAACTAGCCGAACAATGACCAAAGGTGTGTCCAGATAGAGTCCCAGGCACCAGCTATTGTTTCCTGATAAATTTCCCTGATTGCAACTGTATGACTTGGGAACTGACAGAGCTATGCTTCAGCTTGCCTTATACATCAGAGTCCTATCCCCAGCCCGGGCATCAGAGTCTTGGGAAGGCCAAGCTAGTGTTGAATGGCCTGGTCCGTGCTGGACTGAGAAGCTTGGGAAGGCGCCCCCAGGCTGACCAACCAACATCGAAGGCTGGAGGTCGTTAGCAGAGGACAGCCAGGGATAAGGAATGGGGGGGGGGGGGTGTTAATGAGCAGAGTGGATGCCCACTGGGGTCCCTGAACCAGAGAATTCCCTGCAGTGTTGAAATACTCGGGCAGATTTTGTTTCTGTGCTGCTCGTGGTTTGAGGTCTGGGCCCAGCCTGAGGTGTCCGGAGTTCTAATACTGAACAAGCTATTGAAATCGAGACACACACACATACACACATACACACACATACACATACACATACACACACACACACACACCACTAATGGCCGTGTATGTTTTTAGTTACAGTGAACCCACTTCGGGGCTGTATCTGCCCTCGAACCCGAGGCCTGCACGGGAGGACGTGGAATACTACCAGTCAGAGGCTGAAGGACTCCTGGACTGCCACAAATGCAAATACTTGTGCACGGGGAGAGGTGAGCCATCGGGGAGGCAGGTTGGCCGTTCACTGTCGCGGGTGGTTCCGGAAGGGTCCGGCCTGGGCAGATGTTCAAGCCGAATTGGGTTCCTAGCATTTTTCATTCCCATTCCAGCATGAGGTTCTCGTTTTCTAAAAACAAACAAACAAACAAAAAACAACAACAACAGTAGAAATGCCTGAAAGGTGCAGTTCGGCTTCCCAAGCCACTCCTCAGAGGCTCCCCGGGGGTCTGCTGAGGCCATGTTTACAGTTTTTAAGCTCCAGGTGAACGGCAGGGTCTCTGGGCGGAGCCAGCTCTGAGCTGCCAGCTGTCAGGGAGCTGAGGTAGAGCAGTCACTTCAGGGAGCAGCTGGGTTGCCACTCATCAGAGAGCTGATGCCCAAACTCCATCGTGGCTTTACCCTTGGCTGAGACTCACAGTAAGAAACGTTATTTTTACACTCAGTCCAGGTAAACACACACACACACACACACCGTGAAACAATACACTAAGTGCATGAGTAATTTCTATTCTGTTCCATAAAAATAAACAAAAAACACACTTATTAGCACCCAGAGTTTGAAGGAACAGTTAATTAATATCGTGTGCCAGCTGCATGCGGTTTCCCAGAGTTCCCATGCCCGCGGCGTCCTGGCCTTGCCAGCAAAGAAGAAAATCTGGTTTGCCAGGGTGATCCCTGATGGCTCACATGACTGGCCGAGGCATTTTCCTGGGCTGCGGATGAGTAAATGGGTGTGTGTGTATGTGTGCGTGTGTGTGTGCAATTTCTCAGCCTGAGGGAGAGGAGTCATGGAACTTACACCCGAAAATGTATTTTAGGGTGGTTATAAGGATATATACATGATTATAGGATTAGACGGAACTTTCCCGGAGGAGCTCTGGACACTCCTAGAACAAGAATCCTCGCTGCAGTTTACACACGTTGGCACAACCTCATTGCTTTCCATTCTCTCAACAACAGTTCTCTCTGCGGAGGCTCAGATAGACCCGGTACGTTGCCCCCAGAGTCACACAGCTGTTCAGCGAAAGAGCTGGAATGGGAACTTAGAGCCTGGCGCTGAAGGCCTGAAATGGTTTCCTTGCTGGGCCTCCTTTCTTTCCTGGGTGATATAAATAATAGGAGTAAGCCAGGCTGGCGAACAGGTTTCTCTGTAGCCATGTTTTCTTCTGTGGTTGACTTACCAAGAGGAGAGGGCAGAGCGTAAGGCTCCTGACTAGAGCACACCCTGATTTACTGCCTTTGATTGCTTCTGGCTGTTTGGCTTTGTGCCTAGAGGTTGGGTTTCTGAGTCAAGAGAGTGAAAGGATGATTCACCAACCAGGAGCTAACAAATGAGTGCTTATAAAGATCTCGGTGCACACAGAGGCCCGTAAGAGGTGTACACAGCACAGTGTTGTGTTGGGAGAACCAGCCACGAAACGCCAGGAACTGATCTTGAGCAGGAAATGCATGCCTGGAGGAAGGTCACCCGTCTTAGCGTCCATTTTTTATGATTTCTTTTCCTTGTCGACAAAATCATGCCCTCCTTCCTCCAGCAAAGTGGCAGAAGTGGGGGGCAGCTGTGCAGGGTTCCGCCGCCCCCCTCCCCCCCACAAGCTTCCAGGCTCCAGTTTTTGTTTTAAAAAGAATTTAGGGCCGAGACCGGTTTGGCTCAATGGATAGAGCGTCGGCTTGGGGACTGAAGGGTCCCGGGTTCAATTCCGGTCAAGGGCATGTACCTTGGTTGCGGGCATGTCCCCAGTGGGGGGGGGGTGCAAGAGGCAGCTGATCGATGACTCTCTCTCATCGATGTTTCTGACTCTCTATCTCTCTCCATTCCGCTCTGTACAAAATCAATAAAATATATTAAAAAAAAAAAAAAAGAATTTTGGTTAGTCCCTCACTAACGGAGGACTGAACCTGGCTTAGGACGTCAGAGAACCGCAGCCCGTGCGACCCGAGCCGCGCCCAGCATGCCAGGGTTGGCCCGTTCCTTTTCAAGCCTTGGCAAGCTCCGCAGCACAGTCCCAGGAAGACCACGATTCAGAAAAACTCGCTTCCCTTACATCTTGCTTTGTTTTGAGCCCATTTCCGTCCTTCTGGCAGGGAAGGGCCGGTGCAGAGCAAGTTCTTGCCTTCCGTGGAGAATGCCTTCCTTTCAGCTCACTGGCCTGCTTTCTCCACCATCGTCTCCGCCCCACCTGGGGCAGGCTGCTTTGTCCTCATGGAGAGTTACTCTTTCCAGTCCAAAGTATCTCTGGAGACCACAGTTCCCGGCTGCCATCTCCTGCAGCTTTGGCTGTCCAGGCCTTCCAGGGGGCAGAGTAAAGAGCCAGTTGTGGCCCTGACCGGCGTGGCTCAGTTGGTTGGGCGTCATCCCAGGCACCAATGTGTTGCCGGTTAGATTTTTTGTCAGGATACATGCTCCTCTTGCAGGCTTGATCCCTGGTAGGGGTCATGCAGGAGGGAGCTGATCGGTGTGTCACTCATATCCATGTTCCTCCCTCTCCCTTTCTCTCTATAAAAATTAAAAATATCTGTTTAATATTTTTTCATTGATTAAAGAGAGAGAGAGAGAGAAACATCGATGAGAGAGACTCATTGATTGGCTGCCTCCTGCATGCCCCCTACTGGGGATCAGGCTGCAACCTGGTCATGTGTCCTGATCATAATGGTAACCCTGGACCCTTCTGTCTGCAGGCCAATGCTCTATCCACTGAACCAAACCAGCTAAAGCTAAAAATAAAATCTTAAAAAAAAAATAAAAAATAAAAAAAGCCAGCTGTGGCTGGCGCTGTCCCAGGGAAGGTAGCCTCATGGTGGGCATCTAAGCGGGCAGGACCGCATCTCAGAATGGTAACGCGCCCTTCTTTTGCAGCCTGCTGCCAAATGCTGGAGGCTCTCCTGAACTTGCTGATCCTGGCCTGCAGCTCTGTGTCTTACAGTTCCACGGGGGGCTACACGGGCATCACCAGCCTGGGGGGCATTTACTATTACCAGTTCGGAGGGGCTTACAGCGGTTTCGATGGTGCTGACGGGGAGAGAGCGCAGCAGCTGGACATCCAGTTCTACCAGCTCAAGCTGCCCACGGTCAGGGCGGCCATGGCCTACGGCGGAGCCCTCATGGCCTTCTGCTGCCTCCTCATCGCCCTGGGCGTCCTGCGGGTCCCGTGGCATTTCCCGCCGTGGCTGCTGATCGAAGGCTCGCTGGACGTGCTCCTCGCCGGGGCGTACGTGCCCGCTCTGTACTTTTACTTCCACGCGCTGTCGGCAGCCTACGCCTCCCCCGTGTGCCGGGAGCGGGAGGCGCTGTACGAGAGCAAAGGCTACCGCGGCTTCAGCTGCACCTTCCACGGGGGAGATGTGGGCGCGGGCATCTTCGCCGCCCTGGGCATCGTGGTCTTCGCCGTGGGGGCCGTGCTGGCCTTCAGGGGTTACCGCAAGGTCAGGAAGCTCCAGGAGAAGCCTGCAGAGATGTTAGGGTTTTAGGTTTTTACAAACATTCTGCCAGGTGTAAGGGAAGTGAGTTCTTCTGAATCGTGGTCTTCCCAGGACTGTGCTGCAGAACTTGCCAAGGCTTGAAAAGGAACGGGGCAACTCCGGCATGCTGGGCGCAGCTCGGGTTTGTTCTCTGACGTCCTAAGCCTGGTTCAGTCCTCCGTTGGTGAGGGACTAACCAAAATTCTTTTTAAAACAAAACCTGGAGCCCGAGACCCCGTCCCCAAGAAAGGCATGGGCCGCAGCGACGTGTACTTCTCGATTAAATAAAGGGAGGTAACGAGTGCATCTGAAGAATCTTATCTTCAGCGTTCAAGAAAGGCTGCCTGAACTTGTCCAGGCATGGCCGTCTTCAGCAGACCAGCGCCCGTGTTTTCCACGCTGAACTCCACGGACTTCACTCCCTTCACGCTCTGGGTGCAGGGCTGGGACTGCTAGGAGGCTCCTGTGAAGTTTAAGTTGGAGGTAGGCGTGGGCTGAGGAAGCAGGAATCAGATTAATTCGCTGCAAAGAAGCTATTCTCCAAAGCCCCTTACCGCGGCTCTGAAAGCTCAATACGTGTTCTGTACCTCTTACAAATGTGCCATTGTACGGGGACTGAACCCGGCATCTGGAATTCAGGATCCATGCAGAACTGAAGAATGTAAACTTTTCCTCAAAAGAAGACTGCTGCTTATGGCCAGGCGACCTCCTGGGTTCTTATTACATGTTAAACGATGACTTCTAGAACATGACAATATATTTTTTGTACAACTGAATATGTTATTTGCTTTATTTGAATCTAATAAAAAAAATCCAAAGAAATTTTTAAATTGAGAGGTGATGGTTCTCTTTATAAATACACTTACAATATTCCCTTAAATATAGGCAACATCATATGTAAGAGGTGAGTTCCATTTGGGTTTAGAAAAGGAAATAAGTATATCTATATGCTTGTGTGTGATTAGAAAATTTATTGGAGAATACACAAGACAGCATGAACAACATTTGTTTCTGGAAAAAAGGAAATTTAAACTTTTTTTTTTTTCATTTACTACATGGCTTAGATAAATACTTGACCTGCCCTCCTCAGTGTGTTCACATTTGCAGTGCAAAGGCAGAAGTGGGTGTATACACTGAGTGGCCAGATTATTCATATATATGAGGCCTGGTGCATGAATTCGTGCGTGGGTGGGGTCCGGCCAGCCTGGCCAGGGGGAGGGGACATGGGCGGTTGGCCGGCCTACCTTCTGGTCAAACTCCTGGTCAAGGGAACAATTTGCATATTAGCCTTTTATTATCTATACACCTAGTGGCCAAATTATTATGCGTTCAGTGATCATAATAATCTGGCCACTCAGTGTAATTAGGCAGAGTATTAATTGATCAGCCACAAGGCAGCCTCAATGAGGAAGCCACTGCTTACTATAAAAACCTCATGTTCGGAGTCTCCACTTCCCTCTACAGAACCCTCTGCCGTCCTACCAGCGTGCTCCGTCTCACCAGAGACAACTGCCAGCTCTGCTCACCCGTTTCCTCCTGGCGTCTGTGACTCTGCACTAATAGCACTGGGAATCCCTGGGCCTGTTTGATCCTGTAGCTAAGACAGGTCGTCTGGCTGGTGCTGTGACAATAGTCAGTGGCAGGTTGCTGTCCGTGGGTTGGTTGACGAGATGTAGATTTGTTCCGTTCCAGCCTCTCAGATGTTTGCTGCATGGGTCACGAGTCCACTGTTTGAACAGAATCTGTCCCAGAAGGGAACGTGCAGGTGCCCACATCTTGGAGTAGGGCAGTAGTCCTGTTTCTCCATGGTGGGTGAGATACTACCATGTATACAGAAGGAAAACCAAGGCAGAGAACAGGGGAGGGGGACTCATGCCCCGGGAATTAGGTTGATGTCTGGGTCGGTTCATAGGCTCCGCTGGAGAGAGCATGGCCAGTAGCTTCAGTGTCGGGGTGGAGAGTGGGCAGCGCTGGCCTGATGTTATTCTCAGATTTAAATTGGAGGAATGTAGCTTCTTAACACATTGTGGACCAGTAGTTTTATTGCTGGCTTTACCCAGTGTCCAGATAGGTTTCTATCGAACGAGTACAAAAAAACATTTTTACACAAATGTTTTAAGGCACGCTTTAAAATTAAACATACCGATTGCCTTTTGAAGTCATTTAGTACATGTTCTTACAAGCTAATATCTTTTTTAAAGTATGATACTTTGAAAAACACTGTGTAATGGGAAGCGACCCGTCCGCTTTATCTGTCGGGGGCCCTTGACTGCTGTGTCCGGGAGCCTCCTAGGAATTCGTGTAGGCCCCGCAGGAGTTAGGATCAGCAAGCCCGGGAGACAGAGATACTGGTCTGTGGCCACGTGGTTCAGAAACGGCGTGGTACGCCTAGCGGATCAGAGCCACGCTTCTCATACATTTTCCTATTCCTAAGTCTCTAAGCCCCTTCCGCTTTATAAATGTTCCTGAGGCGCACCACCACCCGTGTGCAGGACGTTTCATGATTTTTCCGAGTATTTTCATGGACTTGCTTCCACGTGGGAGGACAGACAGGCATTATCTGCATTGTTGAGGTAAAGTGTCCGAGGCTGCTAGCCGGTGACTCGGGCCAAGGTCACAGGCGATCAAGAGCAGGGACGTGAACCTGGTGTCCCCACTCCAGGGTCACAGGCTTTTCTCTTAGTTCGCTGTCTGAACCCTGAGAGAATGGCAGGAGACCTGCCTGTAGGAAGAAGACACATGAGAGCTGACCTCTGACAAGTAGACATTCATCTCCTATCCCCCGTTGGCACCTGCTATCTCCTGGCATGTGTAGGTTCCTTAAACTTGCAAGAAGACCCCAAGGAAACAGCCTCAGTGTCCATCAGTAGGATCCCGAATAGACTGGCATATCCACCCAATGGGGTCGGAGGCCATACAAAGAGGACTCTGTGGGAGCTGACCAGAAACATCTCTGGGAAGAATAAATGAAAAAAGCGAGATGCAGAACAGTAGATGGGGTGTGCTTTCCTCGTGAAAGCCTGGAAAGAGGGATGGAAGGCTGATTTGAGCGTGTTTTTATTTGCACGAGGGAACACTGTGAGTTGTATTAGAAAATCGTGAAGGTGGCCTGGGGAAGAGAACAGAGGTGACAGGGACACAAGTGACTTTTCTCGGTCTGTCTCACATCAATATTTCTCTCTCTCCCCCCTCCACTCTCTCTGAAAACCAATAGAGAAAATATCCTCCAGTGAGAATAACAAAATTGCAAAAAATAGTAGAGATCCTATGTACTCTAATCCCAGTTTCCTCCAATGGAAACATCTTGCATAACTATAGTCTAATATCACAACTCTACAGAGCTTAGAGGTCACCCGTTTTACACGCACTCATGTCTTTGTATGTAGTCCCATGCAGTTTTATCACGTATAGACTCGTGTGACCACCATCATAATCAAGTATAGAATGTCCCATCATCCCTTGTGTTCCCCCCTAATAGTCACACGCCTCCCTTTCCCCCTCCCCACTCCCACTCGTCCCTATGCCCCAACCACCACAGCGGTGGTGTTCTCCATCTCTATCATTTCGTCATGTGGAGACTGTCACATAAATGGAGTCATGCAGTATGTAGCCCTTTTGAGACTGGCTTCCTCCCACCTTCCACCCCTCAGCTCTCGTCATAATTCTCTTGAGACTCATCCACTTTGTTGCCTTGTGAACAGTCTGTTCCTTTTTATTGTGGATGATTCCTTGGTAAGGGTGTGCCAGATTGTTTAACCATTCGCCCATTGAAGGGCATTGGATCGTTTCGGATACTTGGCTATCATCACAAATAAAGCTACTGTGAACATCCCTGTACCCGTGCTTTGTGTCGACCTGGTTTCATTTCTTTAGGGTAAGAATCCAGGAGTAGAGTTCCAGGGTCACATGGTAAGTGTAGGTTTGTTTGTTTGTTTGTTTGTTTGTTTTGGTAAGCTGCCAAAAGTTTTTCCAGAGTGCCACTTTGCTCTTTCAAACATATGAACGTTGGAAAAACAATCCAAGACTGTTAATGTTGCCTCTGATCATGTCCTTCAAGTCTCTGGCCTGACCTAGAGAGTTTCCTGGGTGCGTGATGCCCGTGTTAAATCCCGACTCTCTCCCGCTAGGTGTGGTGCAGATAGTGGAGGTGCTACTGAACGGGATGGTTCTCATGTGTATCGTGGCTTCCTACTTCGTCCTGGCCGGGTTCAGCGCCAGCTTCACCAGCGGCGGCGGCTTCGGGAACAACTACTACTCACCGTTTGAGGGCACGGAGCTGGAACAGGTCCGGCAGCTGGACCAGCAGTACACCGTCCTCCGGGCGCCCCTGATATACGGCGGCGTGGCAGTGTCCCTGGGGCTGGGTGTCCTCACCATGGGGGTGCTACTCCAAGGAGCCAAGAGTCTCGCCAAGCTGCCACGGAGGTGGCTCGTCCTGGAGGCCGCCTTCAGCCTCCTGGCCGCCGTGGGCTACTGCGCGGGCATCGGCATTTTCCTCCACGTGGCCCTGCGGATCAACGCCACGGACACGTGCAAGAGGAGAGAGAGGCTCTATGCCCGCAAGGGCCTCACCTGGATGAACTGCCAGCTGGCGGGCACGGACGGGGCAGCCGCCACCTTTGCTTGCCTCCTGGTGATCATGTACGGAGTCAGCGCGGTGCTGGCCCTCCGGAGCTACCGGGAACAGAAGGTCTACAGAGACAGCCAGGAGCAGCACAGGAACTACAGGGAGGGGCCGGAGTACCCGTGGTCCGGAACTCTCTGAGGTCTTCCTCTCGGAACCTGAACACCAGAACCTGAACGCCTCCCCGGCTCCGCTCAGAAAGAGGAGCCCCTTTAACATCGCACGGTTGGCCACCGGCGTTTTCTCAGACAGGAGTCTATAAACGCTCGCTTTGGCATTCTTTATACAAAGCTAGGTGCAAAGCTAGAGGTTCCATCTCATTTTTTTCTGTCAGGGAGCTTTTCAAGCTCAAAGGTTGGGGAAGATAAATCTCCCCCACCTTTGCTACAAAGAACATCAATAATTTGGATATGCACTTACGGTCTGGCTCCCCCACCAAACGGTAAGGTGATGATGATGGCTAAGTAGCCAGAGAGATTCTGAAAGTTGAGAACTACACATCAGGGGTGGCGGGCCCGGCATTATAACAGAAATATCTTACCTGTCTCAGCTACTGAAATTCACCAAAAGAAACATGCCATACCGCCTCCTATTTGGTCCCGGGAGAAAGCTTTTAAAGCAGTCGTGTGACTGGATTCTAAACGAGTCATCCCCACCCTCTCGTAGAGGGAAGCTGTTCTGCCCACAGGGCTGGGTACCGACTGCCTGGATCCCAAGTAGCAGGATGGGAGCTGGGTGTCTGACACATGAAGAGAGATGCGTTTAGCATGCATGCTCCTCCTCGAGATTCCTGTATTAGAGCTGAGAGAAAACGTCTTGGGGTTTATTGCCAGCATTCCAAGTTAGTTTCTTTTTGTTGCAAGTCATTCACCTGAAATTCAGCCTTCCTGAATATCTTTCTGATATATAAGGCTCATACAGTGAGAAATAAAAGTCATACACTTCTCTCCCGGCTGGGATAACTCAGTGGTTGAGCACAGACCTATGGACCAGGAGGTCAAGGCTCGATTCCCGGGCAGGGCATATGCCTGGGGTTGAGGGCTCCATTCCCAAGAGGGGTTGTGCAGGAAGCAGCCAAGTGATGATTCTCATCATTGATGTTTCTATCCCTCTCCATTCCTCTCTCTGAAATCAGTAAAAACATTTTTTAAAAAGTCATAAACTTCTTAAACGTGCTATTTAACTATTTCCAAGATCAAGTAGTTAATTTTACTAGACTATAAAGGGTTATGGGAGGCCTCTCCATTGCTGTTTTCCCTGACAGTGCCTCAGAGTAGATCTTCCAAGGTAGATTATAACCTCCCATGACCCTAAACTGTTTTCATAGTATAACAGATCATGAACACTGAATTTTAAAAATAAAGTCTTCAATAATTTTAACCTAAAGTTTTATAGCTGTTCTTATACTCTACGTCTCGGATTTTCAGCTCATGTCAGATACAACTGCAAATATATCCTATATAATAAAGAGATAATATGCAAATTGACCATCACTCCAACACAAAGATGGCCAGCAGAGAAGGGCAGTTGGGAGGGACCAGGCCTACAGGGAAGGGCAATTAAGGGCAACCAGGCCTGCAGGGGAGGGCAGTTGGGGTGACCAGGCCTGTGGGGGAGGACAGTTAGTGGCAACCAAGCCGGCAGGGGAGCAGTTAGGTGTCGATCAGGCTGGCAGGGGAGTGGTTAGGGGATGATCAAGCTGGCAGGCAGTCAGACATCCCTCAAGGGGTCTCAGATTGGAGAGGGTGCAGGCTGGGCTGAGGGACAACCCCTCCCCCCATGCATGAATTTTGTACACCAGGCCTCTAGCATGTTATATAAAGTATAGGGGTTACTTTTTCCCCTAGTTTTTCTCTTGCTTTTCAATAGCTTTTTTTCTTTCTTTCTTTTCAAATTTATGGTCACATTATAAACAAGTTCAAACTACTGATAAATTCAAACCATATTTTTAGAAATTTCTAGGAACAGCAATTTTGACATCTGTACAGAAAGAAACTAGCAAACATAATCCTGTTTCAACATCTTCCAAAATGACTGTTAGAAAATTAAGTCAAAGCCATTTTCCTCGAGCATGTTTTCCCCACTGCATGTTCACTGACTCTCCTCCCTATAACAAACTGCCTTTTCTTGTTCCTCTCAAATTCTCTCAATGGCTAATTCTTACCGAAATGATCCCAGCGAAGGATCAAAACGGAACCTCTTCCGGAAATGGGAGATTACTTAGATTATACTTTTACAAAAAGTAAAGTCTAGAGGAAAACAATCAACTGGAATCTACATTGTGAGGTTAAAACACAAACATCTGTGCCACCAAGAGGCACTTCTACTCTGTCATCCTCAGCCCCAGTTTTCACAGAGCAGCGAAAAGTTTATAGCAAAAATCAGCCCACCCCCTCAAAAAAATAACCATACATACTATTCTCCCCTAGCATGTATTCCCAGGTTCCCTAACATGTCCCATATCTGAGTGGTGCTTGATAAAATGAGGACTTGGGCCTGTCAGACACCAATGTTGTGTGCAGGCCCAGCTACAACACTGCTCCCCAGATTCAACTCCTCCTGAGGGACTGGAGCCCATCGTTACTGTGATCATAGCACCCCACGTCTGCCTTTTCCAACCACATCTAACTTCCTACCACTTGGCAGAGGCAGGTCAAGATTCATCCTTCACTTTTTTTTTTAAATATATTTTTATTGATTTTTTACAGAGAGGAAGGGAGAGGGACAGAGAGCCAGAAATATTGATACCCGCTGTCTCCTGCACACCCCCCACTGAGGATGTGCCCACAACCAATGCACATGCCTTTAACTGGAATCGAACCTGGGACCCTTGAATCCGCAGACCGACGCTCTATCCACTGAGCCAAACCGGTTTCGGCCATCATTCACATTTTTAATGAGGACACCAAGGTTCAAGGTTACATGACTTACCCAGTAGCTGGCATTCCGCTGACTGCTCATCGTGGCAGATGCACTACTGAGCTAAGGTAGCATTTTGCATCATCTCATTTAAGCTCACAACTTCAGAGATACGATTTCCATTTAACAATTGAGAGAGAGAAAGAAGCCTTGGAGAGAGGTTAACTTGTCTAAATTCAAACCTTCTAGAGGCAAAACTCAGGACCAGTGAATCACACACTGGAACGTGTTGTGACTAATGTACTCTCGTGGCCTTTGGTGTACTGGGTGGGGAACTGATATCACACGAAGCAGAGAACACAGACAATTTCACTTCTGCTGCCGTGGAGTAGCGAGGTGTGCGTCTGATGGAACTGAGGTACTGAAGTAGACGATGGTGATGGTGGTTGAACCCAGTGCATTGAAGGTGCTCAATGAATAGTGAACCAACTTTTCAAAATGTTTGCTCTGCTAATGAGAAGGAAATTGATGGCTTTAATTTGGACTTCATCTGGAGCGAGAGGTAGTTAATCTTGCTCCAAATCCAGATATTTGGGAGACAGTCAATGAGGGGAGGAGAGAGGAACAATTTAGAGGTTAACCTAGATTATAAGTATTTTATGGGCCCAAACCTAACAGGTATGTCTGAAGTTCTAATACCAAAGCCATTATTACATTATACTAAACATGATGGCCAGATTATGCACTTGGCTTCTCTATCACCATCAGCTCTATGATTTAAGAGGAGCTGTAGATTGTTTACAATTGAGTTTCCTCCAGTCAGGTAATCCCCTGCATGTAAATAAGGGCCATGTTTCCTGTCTTTGGGATTAGAAACAAAAAAAAACATAGAAAACAAGTCAGAATATAATGTTTCTTAGCATAAAAAAAAACTTTATTGCTATCTCAGCTTAAAAGATGATCAAAAATATTTATTCTGCCCTTAACTCGTAGCTTCATAGTGTGTCATAGAATGTAGTTTCATTTGTTATCTTCCCCTAAAGCAAGAAAAAGCAAAAAAATTCTAATGGTGTTTTTGGTTAGGAAACTAATTCTACATACAAGTTAGAGAAAATTACAGTTGCATGCTAAAATGAAGTATTTATAAAATAACAGGTATTTCATTTTAAAACAAAGCCATGAAAAAAGATGTTCCATTTCATTTTATTTATTGTTGTTGTTATTGTTATTTATTTATTTTTTTTACAAATAATAGATTTGCTGCATCATGCTCTGGCTCATATTATTGAATTAAAAAATTTAACACATTTCAAAAATATCAAAAATACACTATAATGAGTCTTAGGACTACAATACGACAATGATTGCACAAAACCGTAAGATAGGAACTCACTGTCTGGATGACGTCCATTGGCAACAGCGAGAGGAAACCCTATAGCGTCTGGGAGAAGTGCGTGAAATTTAAGAGTACAAGGAGCTTATGTGTGATTTGAATGATCACCAAATGAGGGAAACAGCAGGATTTACTGTAGCTGCTTTTCTCCATCTAGGAAGTGCTTACCCAGCTATGGGGCAAAAGTCACTAACTGGAGAGAAAGATTAACTTGCCTCCATGATTGGGGAGTCTAAAAGGCCCCACCCAGAGGGAAGTAAAAAGTGACACAAGACAGTTCTATCGTGATGCTGCAGACATCACTGAATGGCTTGGAGACTATTTAATAATTAGTACATTTATTGATAACAGCCAAGTGCTCCCTTATGGAGGTCTCTTCATTAATAATTATTGAGTACAGAGAGGTGAGCCTGTGGCTTCCAAGTACCTGCTTTTACTGAAGGTCTACATGGAAAGAAGAGTATCACATGATATTCAGTAGATCAGCCAAACCTAACTAACTGGCTCCATCTCCTGAAAAATAGCACTCGCTACAAACAATTATAATAGCACCCAATGATTACCAAGCTGCTCGTATTGGTTCTTCTATACACCAGGAAAAGGAACTCATAAGTGTATTGCGCGCGCGTGCGCGCGTGCGCACACACACACACACACACACACACACACACACACTCACAGTATAATAAAACCTTCACTTGCATTAGGAGTGGTAATTCAATGACTCTATGGTAGCACGGTAACTTTGATATACCAGCATTCAAATGTTCACATATATTCCCAATTCATTTGGATAAAAGGAAGAATACCATGGCTGCCAAGACTCGTGTATTTTTCTTTCTTCCATAGGACTGCTGAACTGCTCCCATCAGCAGGAGTGATGATATTTTCAGAAATTCTCTTAAATTTTTCTATTCAATGGGAGGTACACACAGAGACCTGAGAATCATGCAGAGGCCAGGATCTCTGGACTAGAGATCAATGGTTCTCTGCCCACCTGGAGAACACATCCTCTGGGTAAAATCCTAGGAAGTAGGTTACATTCACCTGGAGACAGATTACTGTCTTTCACCATCTAACAGTCTAATTGGTTCACACAATGACTGCAAACGACCTCACAGGTCAGGAGATTCTGTATATTTTTGGTAATGGGCTATGGCCTTTTTACCCTCTGTGTTAATACAGAGCATTCACAGAGAAAAAGGAACTAAAGGAAGTTACAAAGAAGAATAAATAGTTTTGGTATAGCCTATATTAAAGATATCCAACACAACCTAGTATTTCCTGAAAATAAATCTACTACACAGAACATCTGGAACTTCGGAGTTCTTCTGACTGAAAAGTAAGTACATTTAACTTCTGGAAAAGTCATTTCAGAAGTGGGTTTTGTGATGGTTCCAGTAAGGGTGGGTAACAAAGAGAAGACAAGAAGAAGGTTCACAGATAAAGGACAATTTTTAAGAGACTATACTATTAAAGTGGTATATTCCCAAAGCAACTTTCTCTTCTAGACAACACCACTATTCTATAACTCAGAGCTTCTGCTGTCTGGGTAGAAAGATGTTTTATATCACCCATCACTATTATCTTGGGTGTTTCCTCCATTTTCATTTTCCCTTCACTTTATTTTTTTTTCATTTTCCTATATAAAAATAAGGCAGCAACACACTATTGTTCCCATCTTTCTAACAGCACCTAAACTTTGTATGAACTACTATGTTCCCCACTTCAAATCAAGACCTGAGTTCTAAAATTCTGCAGTAGCTGACCAGTAGTTTGACACAGGGAAGTCAAGTATTCCTGAAAATTTGGGGACCCAAATTCAGATTCTTGAGGAGTTGAACTTAGACAGTCATTGAAGTGGTATGGAATCCCCCAAGAGTGTATGTACCCCACCAAAACACACATGTGGGTGTGGGGCCTCTGAAAAGGTGAAGATACATGATGACCAACCATTTGTGGACAGGACCCTACTTAGGTATATATCAACCCTATCTTTAACATTATTTCTTATGAAACAAGTTAAAAATGGTTCCACTCTGCTTTCTTTTTAATTGTGAAAGTATTCTAGAAATCACTCAAAGCACATTCCCCATGGGTAAAATCAAGCAGTGTCAAAATTTTGTAGGAATAAATAGAAATTCATTTTCCTAAGTAAATCTAATGGAAAAGGCAACAGAACAGAAATATGGAAGGAACTGCATTTTGCTAGGGATATGTGGAATGTGCAAAAAATATAGTAAATCACATTTCCTGTAAGCTTAGGATTTTTAAATTCTCTGTTATATTAGTAATTGATCCTAGTATTCTCAAACCATGTGACGTGGATAAGCAGTTTTCAGTATTCTGTTAAACACTAAAGAGGTGAACTCTCCACTCACTTGCAACATTTTAGAAAACCATCCCTAAGCTCTAGAGTAAGAGAAGGAACCTAACCCTGAGCTCCATCCATCCTTCTGTTCTCATTCAGCCTGTCTGTTCAGGGTCTTCTGCTATTAAATACTCAAGGTTACCTGGATGTGAGTAGCACCAGCCTTGGCCCTACCCACCAGAAGGCTGACTGCCACTCCATCAGGTGTTATGAAAAGAGGCCAATTCCCAAATGCCTCTCTCTCGACCTGCTGGGAAACTCCTAGCAGGTGTCACATTCATCAAGGAGCTTTTCTCTCTTTTTTGTGATTTTTGGGAAGTAGTCTTAGTCTTCACTTCTTTCCCATCTTCACCGCCCCCCCAAAAAAGATTCTATCCCCCCAAGCTTCTCAGGAGCTTTCACAGTCTGACATCCAACAATTAAATCAACTTCCCAGGACCCTGCCTAGTACCCTCATGCAAGGCTCCAACACCTGATGCTCATTCTACCTACGGAGACCAAGGTGCTGGGCTGCCTCTAAGAAGATTGGCTCGAGTGCAGATTCGAAAATAAAAAGTTCACAGTCAATGAAAAGTGCTCTCGTTACATTACATACATAAATTATCTGTTTGATTGGTTCTACATTTCCAATAAACGTCATTTTGATAGGCTGTATTCTCGTAGAGAAGAATGAAAAGTCATGTGACTTGACACATCACATCCCATCAGTTAGGTTGAGATATAAGGTGATTCCTCTGTCATAGAGATCCATCAGCAGCAATCAGTAAAGGGAATCATCTTCAGTTATTTTCCTCCACAGAAATAGTCCCTTTCCTACCCAGGCAGGCAAATTCTCAAAATTATCCTAGGAGAGAAAGGGTTAATGGCAGGTGGCAGGACTGATACAGAGCAACATCTGCTTTCTTCCCAGTAACTCTGGGAATCCCAGTGCAGGTTAAAAGTGAAACTTAACACTGATGGTGTTCACTAACTTATCCAGAGTGAGACCCTGATAGCTCTCACCATTTTTGGCTCCACGTTCTACCTCCTTCATCTATGGTTTAGAAATGCAGAGGCAACATGCCTCTGGAGGGATCCCCACCCCGACCCCACGGCCTTCCCTAACGCTGAGCTGCTGGGGAGGATCACAGTGCCGTGTCAAACTCCTCGGGGAGCTCGGTCCGATCCTCTTCAACCAGCTCAGGCTCGGGCCTGCTTTCCTGGTGTTGCTTCATTTGCTCCTTCACTTCTTCTTCCAGGTCACGAGGTAAAACAAACTGATCCTCCGGCTCCAGCTGCGTGGGGGCAGCAAAATAGCCAGTTTTCTTCTTGGGTGCTTCTGTGGCCACTTCAATGAGGTTCAGGCTGTCTTCGAGGGGCACAACCGAGCCATTGGAGAGTTTCTTCCCGTAGAGACAGGAGGTGGAGGGAGACTTCTGTAGCTCCATCCTGTCCTTGCTCACTGGCAGAAGTATGCCACTGTTCACACTGTTCTGTCTTCGGATCCCAAAAAACAATCCTCTCCCATGTTCCTCGGGACACGGGGCGGGAGAATTCTTTGGGAGCGTGGGCGAGCTCTCCCTCCCCCGACAGCAGTGGATATCCACTTCCACTTCTACTTTGCTGCCATTGGTTATGACCCCTTCGACGGGCTGGTCATCGTCACTGTCCAGGCCGTTGTCAGACTGGTTACTTGAGAAAGTCGCACAAGAAGGCTGGCGCTGAAACACGGCAGAGGCGGGGGTGGGGTGGAGGCTGCAGCGCCTCTCTGGCCGGGGGAGCAAGCTGGCGTCCAGGCCAGCGGTGTTATGCTCATCAGAAGCGGTGGACCCCACCTCACTGCTCACCTCCGACGTGGACATCTCGCTGCTGAACTCAGAGGCAATCCCACTGCTGGAGGAAGGAGTGGTTGGCTTGAGCGGGTCCTTGATGGTCGTGGTTGAAGCAAATCCCCCGGGACCTGGGAGGCTGAGCCCATTCATCTCACAAGTGCAGCCCTCCTCACCCATGTTCAAATAAACCACTACTGCCCCCACATTGTCCTGACAACCGTAGCTCTGTGCTAATGTGCACAGCTTCTTGGCAGCTGCTAATGGGTCCTGTACATGACGCACTGCACTGACAGCTTCTGTGTATGACAAATGTTCCCACAATGCTTTGTTTCCCAGGATCAACAACTCGTCCTGAATGGTAAGTGTAGTGGAAGAGATGTAGGGCTTGGGGAGGATCCAAGGGTAGAGATATGTACAGCCCAGCATCCGGGTGCAGCAGGTTACCCCATTCACTTTGTTATCCTAGAGGCAGCAGAATGCAAATTTTGAAAAACACGCAACAATGTCATACAATTTATATCTTTCTATTTCACAATGCTTACTGCTCTACAAAAAAACAAACAAACAAAAAACAGAACTGGCATGTATTATGGTTTTTCCGAAGATCTGTGTATTTTAAGTGGCCTTACAAAACTAAATGTATAAAAGTACAAAATATCAGATGGTTATACTGAATATTCAGAGGACTAAAGTTAAAACCAATTAAAATCAAGTGGCTAAAAGGTGCCTCAATCTCAAAAGATACATGCTTTAACATGAAGTAAAGGCCTCAGCATGTCCTTAAATAGAAAGACATCTGTTAGAAAAATAAGGAGCAGAACTGTCATTAATTCTCCATCACTAGTGTTCTCAGAGAGGCCAAAACTCAGATGGGTCACTAAAAATGATTTCTCATTCAAAGGCACAGTTAGGACTGAAAAGATTCAGGAAGATATTAAATGACAAATGCAATCTTTGTGGCTAAAGCATTAAGTAATCTCCAAAATTATGTAGCCTAAAAAAGGAAAGTCTGAAATCTGCAGTAAATGTACCTAATCTGTAAGGATTATAACCAAAAATGAGTAACAGGTCAAGTCACAATTGGTATAATTCCAAACTTAAAGGAAAAACCTTAGTAACAGATGGGGATGTTCATCTGCCAGATACTTGATACTTATTTCTTTTCAAGATAAAACCAAGCAAAACCTCTAAAGCCATCAATAAATTTATTTCATAGTTGCAGTCATTATCTGGGTGAAAATCCTGGCTCCCTATTTACCAGAACTTATCACAAACACTAAATTTTACTTTCCTCAACTGTGAAATGGAAATAAAAGCAATTCTTTCATGGCTGTTATTGTATTATGAAGATTAAGCAAAATAATGAAAGCACAGTGCTTAGCAAATAAGCAAACAATATCTGTGTTTAAAATAACGTTTATAGTCAAAACTGGTTTGGTTCAGTGGATAGAGTGTCGGCCTGCGGACTGAAAGGTCCCAGGTTCAATTCCGGTCAAGGGCATGTACCTTGGTTGCGGGCACATCCCCAGTAGGGGGTGTGCAGGAGGCAGCTGGTTGATGTTTCTCTCTCATCGATGTTTCTAACTCTATCCCTCTCCTTCCTCTCTGTAAAAATCAATAAAATATATTTTAAAAATAAAAATAACGTTTATAAAAATATTTCCTACTTGTCTAGAATCCTCTTTACCCCCAAAATTGAAACTTTACTAAATTCTGTAAGAATAGACTAATACAAAACGTTCTTTTATCTTTCATTTTTGTTTTCACTGAAAGACCTTCCTAAGACTATAATGCCTCAGAGTTCCAGAATCTTCATTGTATCAACCACATTGTGATATACTTTTTTTGGTTGCTTCCTTGGATAAAATCTAATATGGATAGTCCTGACAGAATTCTGACAGAACAAAGAGCCCAGAAATGAACCCACAAACACAGCCCACTGATCTTTGACAAAGAGTAAAGGCAACTGCATGGAGAAAGGGCAGTCTATTCAACCAACGCTGCTGGGACGACTGGACATTCACATGCAAAAAAGAAAGAAAAATAATCTAGACATGGAGCTTTCACCTTTCCAAAAATTAATTCAAAACCAATCTGAACTTCCAAAACTTCCAAAAGATAAGACAGAAAGAAAATCTAGGTGACCCTGGGTTTGGCAATAAGTTTTTAGATACAACACCAAAACATGAACCATGAAAGAAAAATAAGTGGGACTTCATTAAAATTAAAAACTTCTCTGCAAAAGACAGTGATTTAAAAAAATGAGAAGACAAGCCACAGACAGGGAGAAAGTGTTTACAAAACACATATCTGATAAGGACTTGTATCCAAAATTCAGAGTTCTTAAAGTTCAGCCATAAAGAAACAATTCAATTAAAAATGGGCAAAAGATCTGAACAGAATTCTGCTTTGCAGTAAACAATGCTCACATGAATTGCTAAAGTCTCTTTGAAAGCAAAAATGCTATGCTAATTTCTGAAACAAAAGAAGAGCTATAAAACTGGTGCTTCATTATTTAAAAAAGAAAATATAACCAGAGCATATAAGCCAAATACAACTGTATTATGAACAGAAAAAATTATTTTTGAAACTTTGCATTTCAGAATCGGATGTCAAACTATAGGATTGCTTCTCTTCTGTTTGGAAATTAACCAAAGGGAACGTTTACCTTCATTTTACCTGCTAGCTATACATCTAAGCAGTGATTTTCAGCAGGTGTGCTGACACAATTTTTAAAACATGCAATACCTTACTATAATATTTAGTCAAGGGCACTAACCTCTTTTCCCTTAGATTGTCAAATTAAAAAATGACAACACAACAGCCAATATAAAAATAGCTATCTGGTGTGAATGAATCAAAATTATACTTTTTTTTTTTAGATCAGGAAAAAGAATATTTTTTGGTGTGCTGCAGAATTTTAGTAATCAGTTTATGTATGCCATGAAATGAAAAAGACTGAAAATAGCTGACCTGAAGCATCAAATTCAGATTTTTCCTTCTAATTAATTTGCCTGTTCTTCTGGCTGGTCATTAGCTGCTCATTAGCTTTTCTTCTAGGACTATTATCTGACTGGATACAGTTTACAAGGCTTGACAGGAGGAAAGTGGGCCTCCACTGCCATTACGCAAACACATTCACTAGATCTGGGGAGGAGTGACTGGTGGAGAGCGAGACTCACCTCTGTTATGATGGCTTTTTGGTCCTTCACTCTTTGGGCCTCTTCCGCATCCTGTTCCAGGCTGAAGACTTTAGAGAGGGGCACTGGTTTCCCACCTCGACACAGGACTGCTTGGCACGTGCCCACGTTGGCCACCGTCAAGCTAAAACTACTTGTTGAGTCGGCAATGTCAGGGCGGATGTAACAAAGAAGAGCAGAGGAGCCCAGCTTCTGACCAGCCATCCCTAATTTCCTGTTTAGAGAGAAAATGAAGACCTGGTAGCTAGAGTAAGAAGAAAGTGGCAGTCCTTCATGGCCACGGTTTCCTTGTTTTCCTGCCATGTGGCTGAACCAGCCCCACCCTTATCCACCTGAAGGCAGTCTCTGGCTATAGGTGATAATGGTGAACAGAGTTCTGCCTTCCGTGCTTAGCTCACTGAGTAAAGGAATTTTACACCACGGGTGAGGTCAAAGGAGAGAGTAAGGTACATCTTTCTCTGCTCCTTCTATTGTGTCTAATCATTGACCACAATGGCCTAACTCAGTGGTTTCAACTTTAGAGCATCAAAATCACTTAGGGTTTGTAAAAACACAGATTGCTGGGCCCACCCCCAGAATTTGATTCAGTAGATAAGGAGCTAGCCTAACAACCTGCATTTCTAACAAGTTTCCAATGATGTTGAAGCTGCTGAGGCTGTTGTCCTAGAACAACACACTGAGAACCGCACATTTAGGTTGTAAGTTCCTTGAAGGAAGGATCATAATTTCCCCTGTATTTCTTCCATACATATGGCATCCATCCCTAGCTCGCCCGATTGACTAATGAGTTTGCAGACCACTGGGATAGGGCTTAATTACAAGGAACAACAACACCCTGTAATTATTGGAATCGAGAGTCTAGGTCAGTGGTCCGCAAACTCATTAGTTAATGGAGTGGCAAACCGAGGCTCACGGGCCACAGTTTGCTGACCACTGGCTTAGAAGATTAGTTGGTAAATCCCAATAAGTATTCTAAACACATGAATCTGACCCGTGCTTAACGTGCTGTAGGTCATTGACTCCTTGGAGAATCTTATGAAAGCTTACCATGCTCCTTCCCCCAAATACACATATACACACACAACCTTTCCCACAACGTTTCTGGGCTTTCCAGATCTTCAGGAGCCTTTGGGTTCAACAGAGAAAACACAGATGTTTCCACAGGCTCTTTAGAGTACCAAAATCCCCACATTCTATGCTGATTTGGAGAGAACAGCCAGGGCAGAAGGAGCAAGATCTTATCTTGATTCTGTACCTGTAATTTAGACACTGGCCTTCTGGCTTTAGTGAGATTTTCCAAAAGCAGAACTGAGTCAGGGATTATTCAACCCACCTGCTTACCTGTGAGATACCAAGAAGGTGTGAGCCATGGAAACGGTGTCACTGGACGAGTGCTGGACCTCCTCCAGAAGCACGTCTGCCACCGTGCACTGCAGGAGGCGGGGGAGCTCCTCATTCCGGTCCCCATCAAACATGCCGTATACGGCTCCCACGCCCTCCGCGAAGGTATCCACAGCTAGCGAAGATACACACAGCCTATCCCAGAAAGACAAACACCAAAGAAAGTTATTGGTAAAAGGATTATTCTCTGGGGAGCCTTCTTTAAAAAAATAAGTGTTAATTGAGGGTGGAGAAGAACAAGAGTAAATCCTAACCTACAAATGAAAAGTGTTACATAATTAGGCAGCATTTGAAAGAGCGGATGACTAACGGGAATCCAGCCACATTCAGAAGCTGTACACATTTTAACTTTGCAATGCTGCCAAAGCTGGAAAGATGAATGTTTTCTCTTAGTAGTTATCAAAGACTAGTACTGTTAATGCCCTTCAGCCAGAGGCCCCAGGTGCACGCCTGTGGTTGGATGAGTTGAGTGTATTGTGCCCTTAGCAAGGCAGAATGCACATCATGGAACTCTGGGGAGTGTAGGTCAGACCTAGCACAGGGTGTGGGCTTTGGTTGGGTCACTTTGGAGAAGGTCTAATGAAGCGGTGATCATACTAGAGTGGGGGCTGCCAGAAGCAGGGCCATTCGAAGGTTGGGTATCTCAATCAATCTTATCTATAGGAGAAGATTAGCATAAGGATAAAGCTGTAATTGGTACAGAAAGTACCGTTTTCCCAAAAATAATGTATTATATTAATTTTTGCTCCCAAAGATGCGCTACGTCTTATTTTCAGGCGATACCTTATTTTTCCTGAAGAAGAATACGGTACACATTTATTGTTAAATGAAACTAAAGGAAATTTATTACTTGTATACGATATGGTAGTACGGTAGTTGTCAACACAAACCAGACAAACTGTGAATCCTACAGTATTAAGAATTTACTCATTTATTCAATGACAATCATGTCATCATCTTCTGGAACATCATCATAACAATCCAATTCCTGAATTTCCTTGTGAATTTCTTGTGACTCCATTTCTTTCAGAATCAGTGGACCAAATCTCTCATGTTTAGCTGCTGTGTGTGTGTGTGGGGGGGGGGGGTGGCTTATTTTCGGGGGCATGCCTTATATTTCACTCAGAAGAAAACCTGTAAGTAGGTCTTATTTTCGGAGGATGTCTTATTTTCAGGGATGAGAGAACATTTGGTATTTTGGGGCCTGCACATTCATCTTGTTGTTGTCCCACTGGATCATGGTCTCAAAGGGATATTATCTGATGCTGATATTCTGTGACTTGTTTACATTCAACAAGAGAATATGTCCTAGGTTAAGCATCAGATCAGTTCCCAGATGTCAGCGGCTACCTTTCTTCTTTCTCAGTCTCCATGGCCAAGATACTCACTTGTTCCTCTGCCCTGCCATCTCAGCCAGTCCATGGCTCCAAAAAGTTGATGTAACTGTAGGATCCGTGGTTGGCAAAGGTTTCTGGTCAATTTTCAGGGTTGTGATATGGCTATGGGAAGTGGAAGAAGGGAAGATTAAACTGTAAATACTTCTGTATTTTACAAAAACTATCCTAACAATACTATATACTTTTATAAAATAGTCTATTGACAGACTAAGATTCATTTCCAGAGGGACTCACTTGAAAGTACTGTGCTTGACCCCCTGGCCAAGGTGGAGAAAGGAAAAGGGTAGGAGGAAGTAATAGGGGCCAAATATTTTACAATTGACGCTGTTCTCTCTATGAAAACTAGGCACAACAAAGACTTCAACATTCCAGCCAAATGTTACTTATTTTAAGTATTTTAATACATTTAAGTCTTGGTACAATGAATGAGCTTGTACTGTCTCTTACATGTTGTAATGTAATGTGCTCTGTTCCGCCTAAACCACTTGAGAAGCCCCCACATGGCTGATGGGACTAAGAGCACATGGGGGTTCATTTTCAAAAGTTTTCTTACCTAAATGTGTCCAGTGTCTTGTGTTCCAGAACCAGGTTTGTATTTCCAGTCAGGTCAAGGTCCTGTAAGGTAGCAGGCAGGGCCTCTGGGATCAGAATTTCTGTCAAGTCATTACAACTTAGGTCTACAAACTGAGGGGGGGGAAATGGAAAAAATTAAAAGAAAATACATCATAGGTAGTTAATTCTTAACTCTCTAACATTCAGTCTACTACTATGTCTTCCAAGGGAACTTAATTTTTCCCCAGGAATCCACTGAATATTCTGTGATCCCTAATTGCCATGTCCTTCGTTCTTATGCAGTCAACCTCATTCACTCTCCTTCCACTCCCCCCAGAGGGACAGCATTCCAGCACGTGAAAGTACCTGGATCTGAGGCAACTGCAGTATTTCTGGGAAAATGCTGATGTTGTTGGAGTGTGCGACAAGGGTGTGCAGCCTTTTGCAGTTCGCTATGGTCGTGGGAATGGTTTTAAGCTTGTTGCCACTTAGGTTCAGTTCCTCCAATTGTTCCAATTTATTTAGTTTGCTGAAAAAGAAACACCAATATTCCACACTGCACCCTAAAGGAGCTGCCAAGCAAGTGTTACAGCAGCCTGAGTGCAGAGGTGTGGCCCACTGCCAGATGCCTGGCCGTAATGAAATGATCGGAGATCCCAGAAAGGGAAGGGCTCCCCAAGGTGACTGCTGCTGCCAAACCTCAGTGTGTGTTTGCAGGGGCTGGAGCTGCCTGGCTTCTCTGACAGCTGTTGGATCTTGTGCATGAACAGCTTCCTATTATGTGACTTACAGGGAGTGGCTGAATCAGCATCGGCCTAGGGTTGGTAGATCTCACCACTAACTAGTTGCAAAATACTGCATAAGTTAATGTCAATTTATATCAATATCCTCAGCTATAAAAGAAGCTGTACTAAATAATTAAGAGTCTTTTCAGTTTTAAATATCTACCGTTACCTATACATAACACAGTTTATCTTCACTAAGCATTATATTGAGTCATTATTTTTTTTAATATATATATATATATATATTATTGATTTTTCACAGAGAGGAAGGGAGAAAGATAGAGAGCTAGAAACGTCGATGAGACAGAAACATCGACCAGCTGCCTCTTGCACACCTCCTACCGGGGATGTGCCTGCAACCAACGTATAATACATGCTCTTGACTGGAATCGAACCTGGGACCTTTCAGTCTGCAGACCGACGCTCTACGGCTGAGCCAAACCGGTTTCGGCTTGAGTCGTTATTATCCATACAGCACTGTGCTAAGAATGTTAATGCAATGTGCTTCACTGTTCCGCTGGATTGAGCAAAGCTTTCTCCACAATATCCAAAATATCTTGAGATGGTCTAACATCTTTATCTAGATTATTACAAGTTGCTCTAATATGACATACCATAATTTGTATTGCTAGGAAAGCCATAAATACTTTTTAATAATTAAGCTCAGTAAATTAAAACTGCTATTTAATTACTGCTAATTAATTAATTGTAATATATATTCACTGAAAAAAAATTGGAAAAAGGGACAAGGAAAACAGAGGTGGAAAAATAATCATACTACCAGAGAACTCTGATGACTTTATGGTGGAGGGTATTTGTGTCCTTTGTCATGCACGAAACTATATTTTAAATTAAAAAAGATGCTACATTATATTTTACAACTTGATGTGTTTTTTTACTTAATACATTTTAAGTGTTCCATGTCTACATCTCATGCTGTTCTCTCATATGCCTCCCTGCTCGGATCTGCTACTACTTTCTGTCTTGTGGACAGAAATACAGTGAGAGTCCCTCTCAGCCAGTCTCTTACGGAGCGCCCAGAGCTGTGCTTGATTTTGAAAATAGTGCAAAAGAATGTCTTCTTATAAGTAAAGAAGCCTGGCTATTATTTATCTCTTCCTCCTGGAAGGCCAACACCCCCAGGCTCCGTGCAGTACAATGAGCTACCTACATATACCTTTAACATCCTGCATTTATTATGCTGCACTGCAATTGCCTATATACTTACCAATGTCCCCAACTTGAGGAGAGGCTGTAACTTAATCGACACTGCTTCCCTAGTACTTACTTAGTACCTGACATACAGTAGGCATTCAATATACACAGCTGACCCTGAACAAAATGGGTTTGAATTGTGCTCATCCACTTACACACTGATTTTTTCCCCCCCAATAAATACAGATGGCTTTTCATGCTACAGATTTCCCACCCCTGGATTCAACTGTGGATGGGAAACAGCATCTTCACATTCCCAATCATGGTCTACCAGCTGCAGATCAAACATATTGTTTTGCATCCATAGTTAGTTGAATCCACATATGTAAAGGGCCAACTGTAGAGTGAAAAGCCACATGTAGATTATCGATTGTATGGGGGTTGGTTCCCACTAGCACTCAGCTTATTCAAGGATCAACTGAACATAATGAATAAATTAATGAACTCAACAGTACTTTTATGAAGCAGTGCTGACATGAAAACAGAAATAAATTGTCTCCAGAATTTCTTTAATTTATTTCATAAGCCTGTACTTTTCTAGGTTGCAAATTCTCAGACCATTCATTATCTGCTAAATACAACTAAGAATTTAACACATTTTAACCACAACTTCTCCAGTTACTGATACGTAACAACTAGGTACAAACACTTTCCCATTCAACTAGTAGAATCCATAAATCACTCCACATAAAGCAAGAATACCTAGTGAGATCGTGGTAATGTAGTCTAACAAATGCAGAATGCCTGTTATTTGTCTGAAATGACCAAAGTGTGCATTTGTTTACCTTGCGGGAAAAGTCTGTAGCTGGTTGTTTGCAAGATGCAAGATTCGCAGGTGTGGGTGCCCGACCAGGACGGGCACACACTGATCTGTCAGGAGGTTGTTGGTCAGATAGAGCAGCTGCAGGGCACTCAGGCTCTCCTCCCCTGCAGAAGCAGATGGCAAGGACTCCAGACTATTTGCAGATGCATTCAAGTACCTGAGGCTGACAGAACACACACATCATCTCCTGCATGGTTATCTGTTGCCTTAGGTAGAAAAAAATCATGCCATCTCAGTAGGGCACCCTGCCATTACATGCTCCAAAACTCATGACAAAAGAAACTTCCTCCAGGTAGTTTTCTCTAATTGATTCTAACAATCAAAGTTCCTTTTACTCAACTCATGCACGCCAAATAGACAGAAAATAGACAGGCTTGGTAGTAGTCCCAGGCTTCTGTAGTGGCCTGAAATCTACCTTAGCTTTATCTTTACTATATGTCATCCTCGAAAGAGTGCTGTTGAGAATCATGTTCACAAATATCCAAACTGTGAAGACACTCTTCGGAAAAAAATTTTGTCAGATTTCAACATCATCGTATTTATTTAGCCAAGCCCCTTGAAATCCCCTAATAATGAGCATAATGCTGTTTCCAACTGTTTGCTGTTAAAGACATTATAATGAGCACCTTTGTATCCTTATCCAATTATTTCTTTATACTACATTCCCAGAAGCAAAACTGGTGAGGTCAAAAGATACACATATCTTCAAAATTTTCATATATATTGCCAAATTGAGCTCCAGAAAGGGCAATACCAATTATACTTACAATATGTTTTATATATACAAACATTGTTTTTCTTTCTGTTTTATATACAAACATTTTTTAGAATTTCCAAAGATTTTATTTTTTGGAAAGTCCAACCAAGTGTACTGAGATGTATAAGCTGCCACACAAAGAACCAGACAACTGTAAGCTAAATCCCTTTTGTATGTTTCCTGTAGCCAGCAATTTTCAACCTTTGCATCTCATGGCACATAAAAACTACTTGAAATTCTATGCACACTAAAAAAAGATATATTTCTTGCTGATCTGACAAAAAAAAAAAGGTATAATTTTGATTCACTCACACCAGAGGGCTTGTTTTGGCTGTTGTCATTACTTTATGTGACAATCTAAAGGAAAAGAGGTCAGTGCCCCTGACTAATAGTCTGGTATTACATTTTAAACATTCTTGCAGCACACCAGTTGAAAATCATTGCTATAGCCTATGTTAAATGACTACTGCTTATCTCTATTTTCTCCATTTCTAAAGTGAAGATAATATTGCCTTCTCCATATTGCAGAAGGCTATAAAAACAAATCTTCATTGAAAGGTGGGTGACATACACGTTAGGCATACCTGATTATGGGTGTTAAAGTAAGAAAACATATTACTTATTGCTAACTTATAATGAGAAAGCAAGCAACACCTTCTGAAACAGTGTTACCTTCAAATGCAGTTTTCAAAGTAGGCAGTAAAAGAGTGATGCAAATAAAGAATAAAACTAATGATAGCTTGGTAAAGCTAGAAGCAAAAACAATTTTAGTGGTATGTCCTTTTCTCCTGATGAGAAAGCTGAAAATTGTCAAGAAAGTGGCATGAGAGCACTGCAATTTCTCTTTAAAGGTCATAACTGTATTCATTTTCTGAGATGAAAGCCTGAACCTTCCCCACCTGTTTGAAACTGTTTACAACACCAAAACTTCTTACGTATTTGATGATTAATTCAACTCTAGAGTTGAAGATTACCACCTTATAAAACAGTGTCCTATTTTATTTCATAGAAAGTACAAATGTCTCCACCCCTAGCTGTGCTATGAGGTAAACTATAAATCTAGTTCCAAAGGTCACTCCAATGACAAGTCAGCGCAGTCCGTGTAGCCAAATTATTCTGCTCTTCTAAAGAACGTCGCTGGTACTTACTTTAAGGCCTTGGAGAAGAGGGTGTCCGGCAGCCTGGTGAGCAGGTTATGCTGAATATCCAGCACCTCCAGGGGGATGTGCTCCACCAGCGCTGGGAGGTTCTGCACGTGATTGTGTCCCACCATCAGTTTCCGAAGACTCAAGCTACTAAGAATTCTGGAAGTGGGAGGGGAGGGAGGACAGTACAAAGAAACAAAAAACTCACTTAAATCTTTCTTCCTGAGTCTGCCCTGGGCTATTTAATTAAGTGAGTAAACGAATAGAAACATACTCTTCTAGACAGTATAATCCCTGACAAGTGCCTGAGCCAAGAAAGCAGCCATGGCCATATGTTTACACACCACCCATCAGCAAGTCATTACAGTCACCCTGGGAAAAAGGGAGCTAATGAAAGCAACCAGCACAGAAGAGATTTAAACAAAAAATTTCTAGAATAAATCAACTGCGATTTAAGTCTAGATAGCACCAAGAATTGAGTTAATCTATTAATATTAATATAGGTAACTATAATAAATTAATAACAAAATTCATTATAACAAAGCCACTATTCTGTGCTTAAAATGTGCTAGGCCACTTAATTATGAGGTTCAGAAGAAACAGTGACTGATGTGTTGAAGATTTCACATTGAATGTAGTCAATGGCAGTCAGGATTTGAACTAAGGCCTGATTCCATGGTTGTGCTCATGCCTACTATACTACAAAAGCCTCTAGTTTAATTTAAAACACTCCACTAGATGATAAGTACACATTTTACACCATATGTAAAGAGCAGAATCATATTCAATGCTTATGAATATACCATTTATCCCCTCCCAAGTACCTCTCTCTTTCTCCCCTCTACATGTAGAAATCCCACCATCTTGTATCTTATAATTATTCCAAGTTATGAATTTCTAAACCATTTTATTCAAAGTTCTGAATTTCTACAACATTTTATTTATACAGGGTCAGCCTGCACACCGGAGGGTCTCAGGCTTGGTTCCTGGTCTGGCAGGGGTGGGAGAGGGCTTACATACCTGGGTGGCAAGTTCAGGGCACGTGTGGGAAGCAATCAATCAATGTGTCTCTTTCACATTATTTCTCTCTCTCTCCCTGCCCCTCCACTCTCTCTAAAAATCAATGGAAAAAATATCCTCTCCTCAGGTAAGGATTTAAAAAAAAAAAAAAAAAAAAAAAAGACAACATTGCAATGTCAGCATTCATTACTCCCTAGTTAAGTGTGACCTTGGGCAAGTTACCAAGCCACTCTAAGCCTTAGTTTCCTCATCTACAAGATGAGGATAACAGCACCTATATAATAAGGCTGTCAAAGGATTAAATAAAAGTAAAGTTCTCATCACTTTGCCCAGCTCACAGTAACTCATCCTATAAAGAGTATCTATTATAAGTATCACAGCACCAACCTATGCCTGCAACCCATTACGTTTTATCAGTTAGCTGTGCACAAGTCCCCTCAACTACCTGCTTATTAATGAGTTTCTTACAGGCCAGCCTATGCATTAGCTGTTACTATATCACTCACAGAACTTCATACTGCCCTGCCCTCAGCAGGTACTGAATAATTATTGAACAAATAAATGAAAGTACCTATCCAAAGTAACCCCGATCTAGGAGAGTAATTAAATACATGCTTACACACACAGATATCATTATACACATTATATACATATATATATATATATTAATACACACTTACCTCACAGGAACCTCTGTCAGAAGATTATAGCTCACATCTAATATTTCTATCTTCTTTGCTTCACAGGCCCAGTCAGGGACACATTCCAGCTGGTTTCTATCAAAAATAAATCAACACAAGTCATCATTTACAATGATGAGTGGAACTCATTTCATTCATCTGTAATATACCTGTTAACTGGCCCATGAGCCCCCTGAGGCCAGGAGCATTATACATAAGCATTCTTGGTCCACTTCCGGAATGCACTAGGTGCTCAATGAATGTCACTGAGAGAGAGGTGGACAGAGACAAGCACCCAAACATGTAAAATCCTGGGTCAATTAAACTTCATGCTCAAAATAGATACAAAGGCTCTCAGCAGTAGGAAAGCATACATGTGATGGGATGGTTGAAGGAGAGATACGGAAAGACTTAATGAAAGAAGTGGCATTTGAAATAAACCTTTGAAGATGACTATAGGTAATAACTGGGGAAGAAAAAGAGCAAATTTTGGGGAAAATGAACCAAATGAATAAAAGTGAGGAAGTAGGGGGACAAGATAACTAATGGGAGGCTTCAAAACATTTAAAATGTGAATGCAAATCTTTAGTAGAGCACTGAGCAGACACCTAGTAAAAATATTTTTATTTTCAGATATTACTTAGCCTCTCTAGGCCTCATCATATCCACTGATTGTTCGATTGATACGATGAGGCAGAATGAAGTGAGGGCTGTAGGAGAAATGCTGATACGGCTACAATGGCTCAGTGAAGGAAGCACTTTTCTGGAATGGATCAAGGCAAGCTCCTAAGAAATAGGACATCTGGGTTAGAATTTGAAGAATGTTGGACAATGACCTGAAGAGAGGAAGACATTCTAAGAAATAGGGGACAGCATTTGTGAGAACACAAAGGCAAGGAAAGAAATGGCATGACATATGTGGGAATAATAATAAGCAGTTTGGGAAAACGGAGCAGAGAGTGGTAAGAAACAGGCTGGAGAAAACGAAATCATATCCAGAAGACTGCAACTTTACCCTGCAGGTATACAGGAGATCACTGAAGGATTAGTAAGTAAGTACAATGTCAGTTTTGTCCTTTAAAAAGGTCACTCTGTGGCTACATGGAGGTCTGGTTGAGATGATTATATCAGTAAAAGGAAGACTAATCAGGAAGCTGTTACAGAATTCCAGACAAGAGGTGATATAGGCCTAAGGAATGGTGATACATATGGAAGGAGAGGGACTTCAGAAGTATTTAGATTTCTTTGTACCTCAAAACTACCAAATCATCCACATACATCTTTTAAATAGTAGGAATCAAACAAGCATCACCCTCAAGAAACACACTCACCTGGAAAGTTCTAGAGATGTGAGAAGACTGGGTACTGGATAGATATTCACTGCTGTCAGCCCTAATTGAGAAATGAATGGGTGTCAGTAACGAAAGTAACTGAAAGTAAATAAGGAAAAAGTGACATAATCAGAAATAAAACAGGCCACCTACTGACTTGAACTAAATACAAAAGCCACTGGGTAACTCACATGAATGTTGTGGTCTCAATTTGGAGACCAAATACAACAAATGAAGGATCATGTGTACTGTACCAGACCAGACAGTTGTTAATAGTAACTACTTATTTTTTTTAATTGATAATGGGATTTTCATTGGCAATATTTTAACTTTTAATGACAGTACACATAGATATAGAAAAGGGCAACAATCCTACCTGTACAAATCGCTATACTTTTACACACAGAACACACAATGTAGCCAGTGCCCTACTAGCTCCCAGGAGCTTCCTCTCATCCACCTTCCAGTCTCCGCCCCTCGCCGCCCTCACTCCCTATACCACAGGCTACTTCTGCTTATTTACATAAATTACATACAGTATGTAAAAGTTTTTAATCTGGCTTCATTCACTCCTCATTGTGAAATTCTGGGTCAATTAAACTTCATGCTCAAAAAAGATACAAAGGCTCTCAGCAGTAGGAAAGCATACATGTGATGGGATGGTTGAAGGAGAGATACGGAAAGACTTACTGCATATGGGTGTAGTTCATTCATTCTCCTGGCAGTAAGAAATTTTTTATATGACTACCTCAATTTGTTTATTCATTTTAGAGTTAGGGCTCTTAAGTCTTTTCGAGTTGGGGTGACTACAAATAGTGCTTCTATGAACATTTTTTCCATGTCTTTTGTGGACTAATATAAGCCTTTATGTTGAGTATAAGCTTAGGAGAGCATTGTTGACTACAGGGGGTGCATATAGTGAACAATTTTCCAGGGTGGTTGTACCAGTTTATACTCCCAACAACTGACATTGGTATTTTCAGTCTCTCCTCTTAGGTCCCTCCGATATGCGTGCAGTGGTGTCACTCTGGTATGTGTGCATGTGTTCAATTTGCACATCCCTAATGACTATTGAAGCTGAGTGCCTTTTTCTATAGTAACTGATCATTTGGATAACTTCTTTTTTGAAGCTGAGTCCTTTATTCTTGAGGCATCAAAACTGCAAGTGTTGATGTGAATTCTTCTAGCTTGTTGAATTTAAAGATTCTGTAAACAGAATAGCTAAGTTCGGAAAAAAAAAAAAAAAAAAAAAAAAAACAACAATAACCATTTAACACAGTACTGTGACAGAATCTTGGTTACTAAGGATTGCATCTATGTCAATAAGGTCTTTTTCAAAGGAGCCAGTTATTCAGATCTTTAGATACATTAAGAAACCAGTTTGGCTCAGTGGATAGAGCGTCGGTCTTCGGACTGAAAGGTCCCGGGTTCGATTCCAGTCAAGGGCATGTACCTTGGTTGCGGGCACATCCCCGGTAGGGGGTGTGCAAGAGGCAGCTGATTGATGTTTCTCTCTCATCGATGTTTCTAACTCGCTATCGCTCTCTCTTCCTCTCTGTAAGAAATCAATAAAATATTATTGATGGTCCTAATAATATTTCCATGATAAAAGACCTACTACCACAATATCTATGAACAGCACAAAACTCATCAGCTGTGACACTATTCTGATCTAATCTCAGCTATCATTTGAAGCTTCCTTAACATAGCTAAAGGCATCAAAAGAATTCCTTCACTATCTTTTATCCTAATAACGCATTTTAGAGAGAAAAGACAACAAAATAATGAACACTTCCTTTCATCTATCATGTAGCTTTTAACAAATTTTGACATTCTGCCTAATGTGCTTTACTTTTTTAATTAAGAATTGAAACCCTCCACATACCAGGTAAACATCATCCTGAATATGATCTTTATCATTCCCATGGATTCTTTCAGTGTTATGGCATACTTATAGCTAAGAAAACAACATTTTTATGTGTTTTAAAATTTGATAATAACTATCTTAGTGTACATATAATTATGCACTTCCTTTCCTTAACTCAAAAGTGCTTCTGAGATTTATCCATATTAACATACAAAGCTTTAGTACCTTGGTTTCCATTGCTGTGCAATATTCTAGTATACAAATATGTCATGGCTTAGTTTTCCCGTTTCCCTATTAATAGTCATATTTTAGTGTTTTTTTTTCACTATAACAAGCACAATGCTGTGATAAGCATTTTTGTGCACAGCTCCTTCTATACATGAGTGTCTCTGGGGGATATTCCAAGCAGGGCCATGTGTGTCTTCAACTTCCCTAACACCAGCACACTGCTCTCCAAGGTGGTTTTACCAACCGCACTGACTGGCAGTGTAAAGTGCTGCCTGTCCCTATCTTCAATAGGACTTAGCATTATCTTTTTTATTTGATGAGTATAAAATGGCATTATCTAAATTTTAATTCATCTGACACTTAGTGAAACTGAAAATCTTTTCCTTTACTTCTTTAAACACAGAAAAAAATAATTATAAACTCTTTGGTAAAGATGAACTCTCCATTAAAAAATGACCTCAACAAATAAGAGTCTTTTACATTGGAAAATATTCCTGGAGCAAATCACTATCAAAACAAGGAGTTTCTCTTTCTAGAACTGAGGCAGCACAAGGTTTTAGGTTAGAAGTTGGCAAAGGGTTAAATATTTAGTAAATATTTGGCACTTAATGAAGCTCAAAGCATCTTGTAATGACTTTTTTATGCATATTTCAACCGCATAAGTGTTGATAGCAAACTTAAAAGACAAAGCTAGGTCTCAATGAACCTCAAATTCTACTCCACAGAGAGAGAGAGGGGAGTGTGAGGACCTCTACAGATGCCATTGTTCTTAGAAAGCTCTGATGAGAGGGGTAAGGGGAAAAAACGGAAGCTGGGGAAAGAACTCACTGTTGGAATTGGCATAGAGAGTCCGAAGGGAGAAGCCACTGAGTGTCAGCTCCCTCAGCTGGTTCCGCTCACAATGCAGCTGCTCCAAGCTACAGAAGGAGCTAAGATCTAAGTCAGTCAGCTGGTTGTCTCGCAAATCCATGTGGGTGATGTATTTATTTCCCTCCAGATTTTCAATTGCCATGGTTTTCAAATGGTTCATCCTTATTGAAAAATTAGGAAATCATTAGAAATAAAATCTACCAAATGTGCTATCAAAAGAAAAAAAAGGAGAGGTATGATGTCTTTCTCTTCCTATACAACTTAAGGATTTTACTACCTGCCTCATTTGCAAGGTACTAAGTTAAGCATCTGTAACATGACTATAGGCAATCAAAAGAGAAGTCCTTCTGATTCTAGAACTGAGGCAGCACAAGGTCTTAGAGTAGAAACTGGCAAAGGTCTAAATATTTAGTAAATATCTGACACTTAGTGAAGCTCAAAGTATTTTGCAGATGGCTGTACCTTAAGTTCTTTATTTTAAGTCAGATAATCCAGACTGGCAAATACATAACAAGTTAAATAAAGAGAAAGGAAAAAAGGACCATGATCCCACAAAGTTAGTTAACTTCCACCCCAATACCTAATAAAGTTAGCTAGGGACGAAGGAGTAGAAATAAGGACCAGAAGACGAATATAACCTTATGGGTCAGTGAGTAGCGAAGCAGGCATGGAGGACCACAGCAAAAGCAAGAGGAAGCAACCACACTTCCTCCCTCCCCTTCTCTGCCTGTTCTCTCTAATGCTAAGATTCACATTACATTAATTAATAGAGTGGAAAATCATCAGTATCTATATGGAATAGTTCAAGGGCAAATTATAGAAAATGGCTTCTTGGTTCTCGTCTATACACGTATATTATTTAAGGCACTCAGGCCTGTTCTCATTTTCTTGTATTCCAATACATTTTTTTCTATTACTATATCTTTATAAGGATATCAAAGGCATAGTGTAAATGACAGAACATCTCTTATGTGTCTTTTACAGCTTCCTTTAGGAAAATATAACTATAAATAGAACTCTTAAAAATTATTAGTAAAACCTTTTATCATTTAAATTATAATAAATGGATATCAAGAAGAAACCCAATGATTCAACAGAAAAAATGGTCAAGTTTACAGAGAAACTACCAATCAATAAGCATTAAGAAGATACTCAGCCGAAACCGGTTTGGCTTAGTGGATAGAGCGTCGGTCTGCGGACTGAAAGGTCCCAGGTTCGATTCGGGTCAAGGGCATGTACCTTAGTTGTGGGCACATCCCCGGGTGGGGGGTGTGCAAGAGGCAGCTGATCTATGATTCTCTCTCATCGATGTTTCTAACTCTCTATCCTTCTCTCTTTCTCTCTGTAAAAAAATCAATAAAAATATAAAATAAAATAAAAAAAGAAGATACTCAACCTCAATCATAAAAACTGATTAACACAAAGAAATACTATTCCTATCTACTGCACTGGCAAGAAAGAAAAAGACTGCTAAAATCCAACAACGACAAGGCTGTGAGACAATCAGAATTCTCCTGAAATGTTGCTGGGAGGTAAGTTAAATAACCTTTGTCAGAGGCAATTTGAAGTCTATCACATGGAACACTTATATCTCATTCATAATCTCTGCTATGGATTAAAAGGTGAAGCTTTGTTATATCTTTGAAACTATAGCTTTAAAAGCCTAATGTTTTTGTTTTTCTTAAAGTCTTTATAAAGATAAAACCCAAAGGTCCATCAGAGGTCCAGCTAAAGGAGATATGGTAACAAGTGACCTTACCTTAAATCTACGTGTTTGATATGGCTCATCCTGTTCAGCATCCCTAGGTTAAGGACTTCCAGTCGATTTCCTGCCATAACCACTTTGTCTAACATGGTGAGTTTCTCATACACCTCGGGAATTTGACTGAAGTTGTTGAAGGAAATTCCAAGGGAGGAAAGCTGTTGCAGATTTCCCAATTCTTCAGGCAAAGTAGTCAGATAGTTGCCATCAAGACAGAGAATTTGAAGACTATAGGAAGAAAGCAAAACAAGTCTACTTTATGAAAGGTTTTAATTGGAATGGGCAGAACTAGAATTATGGATTCTAACTTATGTCACTCATTTTTATGAATCCAATAAATGATAAAATGTCCTAAGTATCCATAGAAATGTATTAATAAGATGGCTTAAACATAACTGACATTGATGGTCCCTCCAACATAAAAAATAGCCAGAGCCTCTGTTGTTGAAACTGAGGGACACTAGAGTCACTGCTGTAGGCGATTCACTGCTGCTGACAGAATGCTCATAATACAGGATTTATTTCACTGTGAGAGCACATAATACTGCCTTCATTCCAAAGCCAGACCAGTCACTTACTCTGCCAGGGACATGAAGAAACTAGTGAAAAGTCATGATGCTTACTTTAGAAGATTGCCAATCTGACTTGGCAGGTCGTGAAATCCATTACAGGAAAGGTTTAGCTCAGTCAGGGTAGAAATCTCACACAACAATACAGGAAACAACCCAAGTTTATTATGGGACAAGTTCAGGCCCTTCAGATGAGAAAATCTAAAAAGCAAAAGCACAAATTACACATATGTACTACTGAATGAGAAAGCAATCTATTTAAATGCTCATCGTAGAATTTGTTCCACAAATGTTCACTGAGCTCCCACTATGTGCCAAGCTGTGCACAGCACAGATGCTAAGATGACCAATGCTCAGTCCAGGCTACTAGGGAACCAGGTCTAGTGTGATGGGAGGTAAAAAATCTTGAAGACAAGCTTATGTTAGTACAGTTAAGTCATACCGATATATTAATACTTGAAATCTTTTCCTTTATTAAATTTCTACATGCAATGTAACAAAGACCTAGCAACAATTAATCAACTCATAGAAACATGAATAGCTAACAGGTAGACTAAATCCCTTTATAAGCAACTTTTTTTAATATTGAAATTATACTGGTTCAAAAGTCACTTGAAATGAATGGACCACTTATATGAAGCTTAAGTCATGTATAAAATATATTATGGAGTTTTACTGTAATGTGGTTTGATGTACAACACGAAATAGTAATTACTAGTGCTTCTATTTTATTGGTACAAGTAAAAGTATCTATAGTGTTTTAGCCAGAGACAGCATTAACCTAAACTGGATCCGCAGAAGTCACAACGGTCATTCTCCTTTGGAGTATCATACTTCACTATATGCTGGTATCACCTGCTTCCAGATTTGGATCTTTGTATCTCACACTAATACTCCTCTTCCAAATTTTCAACTCTTGACTTCTGTTTTTGTTTTGTTAATTCTCACCCAAGGGTATTTTCTCCATTGATTTTTTTAGAGAGAATGAAAGGAAGGGGGAAAGACAGAGAGATAAACATCATTGTGAGAGAGACACATCGATTGGTTGGTTGCCTCTCATGTATGCCCCGTCTGAAGCCGGAATCAAGCCTGCAACCGAGGTACGTGCCCTTGACAGGAATTGAACCCATGATCCTTCAGGGCTGATGCTCTAATCACTGAGGAAACAGGCCAGGGCTCAACTCTTGATTTCTAATTGTACCAACATTGAATACTAATTGTGGCCTTGGTGCTTTAAGTTCTGAATTCCTACCCAACCCTCAAACTAGATTTACCCTATTTTCATAGCAACTCAGAAGGAAATGTTAAGGCACCTTAACATTTATAGTTGTTTTTATTTTTTAAATACCTTAAAATCATAGCTTGTTTTTATTTTTTAAATACCAATATTATTAAAACAATGATCTCATTACTCATCATAGGCTTAAACTTGAAAAACTTTGTAAAATATGAGATAAAAATTATAGAGCTTTCTGTAACTTATTCTAGAAATATCAGTTACTAAGAATGTAAAATGTCACTTCAATGTGTACTATCTTTTTAATCACCATGTAATTTAATTGCTTTAATTTTCAATTTCTCCCCTCCCCATAAAAAGCCCAGACAATTACTTATACCAGTGGCCGCAGTCTGCAGACCACTGACTTATACTATATTTATTCACTGCCATCCATTTTCAAAGGGAAGAGGGAGGTGACATGAGTGGAGACTGGGAATGGAAAATGTATTCTTGCCCTGACTGGTTTGGCTCAGCCTGCAAACTCAAGAGTCCCAAGTTCGATTCCGGTCAAGAGCATGTACCTCGGTTTCAGGCACATCTCCATTAGCTGTGTGCAGAAGGCAGCTGATAGATGTTTCTAGCTCTCTATCCCTCTCCTTTCCTCTCTGTAAAAAAAATCAATAAAATATATTTTAAAAAATGTATTCTAACAAAGGAGATGAAAAATATATAGATTATACTATAGTCCTTTAGGAGTGAAATAGTTCCCTATTAGAAGAGGTAAGTTTCATAGCTAATAAAAGGCTAGAGTCAGCAATAGCACATACAAAGAAAAAATAAAAGCCCTAACCTGGGAGTGGAATTCTTTAAATTAGGCTTATTTCCTTTAAGTCATTTACATTTGATACTTTTGATTCAAAAACTTCCATAAACTGAATCTCTCAATTTACCCTGGCTACATTACCATCGGTAACTTAACAAGATAATCTAGATGAATGGCAGCTCAATGTTGCCTTTGTAACAGAAATTTTACATCTATTTTCTGTTTTGTAAAAGGGGAAAGGAAAATGGGAAAATTGTATAAAAAATTTTTACTTCCTCTTCAAAAATAGAAAATACATAGATGATGGTAAGTATACTCACTCCTAAGTAAAACCACTAAAATATTGATTATGATTCATTTTTAATAAGTTAGTCCGAAAACCTGTTCTCCACATACTTGTAAAGAGTGTCAAGGCCCCCTGGCCTTTCTAATTGCATGAAGTTATGTCGCAAGTTGAGGTAGGTGATATCTTGACTGTAGAAGAGATGCTCAGGAACCTCCTCAAGGCTGTAACATGAGAGGTCGACAGTGCTCATTCGCTGGGACACCACCTGAATCAGGACAAAGAGAAGAGCCATCTGAGCGAGGACCTAATGCTCTCCGCCCAGCACAGTATGTTATGGCATTTACACAAAAAGGTCCGGGTTAAAAAGATGAGGAGAAAAAAAGGTAATGAGATCTAATTATTCATTTATAAAAACCAGTTAACGTTTACTTTTCCTAAAACCATAGGCTGCTAGGAATACACAAAGGCATGCTATAAAGTGTCTATAAGCAAAAGATTAAAAATATAAATCATAATGATGGAAAAGTAACATTTCATGAAAGAAGTTAAAATAATTCAAACTAACTACAAAACTTTGGGAGGCAGTGAGCTATTAATGTCTTTCTATAGCCACATGGACTGTGCTACTACAGTTTCTTCATCTGCACTAGTGAAGATAAAATCAAATAACCAAGCACACAGCACACTGCTTAACATTCAAAAGATGCTCAAAAAATATTAACTTCTCAGGGCAGAAGAATGCAATAGCTGCTAAAAATTGAAACTAGATTTATACCAACCAGATTTTATTACACAATATAAGTACAGAAAATCCAGTAAAACAAAAATGAGATTTATATTTCTACAATAGTATGCTAATAAAAGATGGGTTCTGAAAAATGGGTCTTAAAAAATAAAAAACAAAATACCACTGGAGAAGTTATTCATATTCTGATGACAGGTCATTATATTGAGACAACCCTTTATACAATTACTTAGTTCCACAAAGAAAAATGTATTAAAATTCTGCAAACAAGAGGATTTAGAAATTGTAATACAACTTTAAACCACTTGTCATTATGGGATAAAAAAGTAGAAATTATGCTGCAAAGCTAATTATCCTCACCATACAGGAATAACGGCTTGTGACAGGATCCCATCATAAGTACAAATCTGAAGTGATTCACAAATCTGTGCTGAATGTAAACATATCAAGGAAACTAGGCTATCAGTTAAGGAATGATTCCATCCATCACCACGGTCCAGGGAAAGTCATTTGAATCTCATTCCTTCAAGGCCTTACCCTCTGCACAGAAATGTCATAAAAGATAAATGCACCTTAAAATACTTTTGAAAGCATTCTGTACTATCCAAATATAAATAAGTTAAAGACCTGACAATAATTCCTTTATTTCATTCATTATATACTCAAAAAGGCCTACAATAAAATGTGTAAGAATTATAATTCACTCTCTTGGGATTAAGTGTAGTTTCAAAATACATTTCTATTGGGCATCTACATTTCTATTGTGGCTTCGCCACATCATGACATTTGACATCTTATCACCTTGGATGCTTGCCGTTGCCATCTCTGGTACTCAGCCAAAGTCTCAAAGCTGACATGATAGGTCTGAGCCTGAGCTCCAGCTGAGCTGAATGCAAGGGAGTACTGCCTTCGCTTCACTTCTTCTACCTGAAGAAGAACGGAAAGAAAACCAGAATCCATTTTTTAAAAATCCTAGTCAAAAAGCAAAGGACAATAACAAGATAATAACTCAATTTTTTTTAATAGGCAAAGGATCTGAATAAACATTTCTCCAAAAACTATAGAGAAATGATCAATCAATACATGAAATGATGTCAATGTCATTAGTTATTAAATACAAATCAAAATGTTACATCCTCTAGGATGGCTAAAATAAAAAAGGCAGGTAATAAGTGTTGGGTAGCAAATACAACAAGACATTGGAACCATCATACACTGCTGGTGAGAATACAAAATGGTTCAACTACTTTGGAAAACAATCCGGTAATTCCTCAAAAGATTAAACATAGAGTAAGTATATGGCCCAGCAATCCCACATCTAAGTATAGACCCAAGGGAACTGAAAACATACATCCATACAAAAAGTTATACATAAATTATAGCAGCATTATTCATAAAAGTGGAAACAACCTACATGTCCATTAATAGGTAAACGTGTAAAAATATGGCATAGCCATAGAGAAATATTTATTCAGCAATGAACAGGAATAAAATATTGATATACATTACAACATGTATAAACCTTGAAAACATTATGCTAAGTAAAAGAAACCAGTCACAAAGAACCATACATGGTATGATGCCATTTATCTGAAGTGTCCAGAATCAGCATATCAGTAAAGACAGATGAGTAGGTCACTAGGGCTGGGAAAATTATGGCTAATGAGGGTTGGTTTCCTTTTTCAAAGTCATGAAAATATTCTAAAATTGATTGTGATAATGGCTGTATGACTCTTCAAGTACATTAAAAGACATTAAATTGTACACTTTTATTTTTAATTTATTGATTTGAGAGAGACAGAGACATCAATTTGTTCCACTTAGTTATGCTTTTATTGGTTGATTCATACACACACACACACACACACACACACACATATCATTGATGTTTACTTTTTTGGTATTTTTATAGATTTCAGAGAGAAAGAGAGAGGGAGAATGAGATAGAAACATCAATGAGAGAAAATCATTAATCGGCTGCCTCCTGCACACACCCCCCACCCCCTGGGGGGATTGAGTCCACAACCTAGGCATGTGCCCTGACCAGAATTGAACCTGGGATCCTTCAATCTGCAGGCTGATATTCTATCCACTGAGCCAAACCAGCTAAGGCTATTTTATTATTATTATTATTATTATTATTATTATTGATTTCAGAGAGGAAGGAAGAGGGAGAGAGATCAAAACATCAATGATGAGAAAGAATCATCAATTGGCTGCTTCCAGCATGCCCCCTACTGGGGATCAAGCCCATAATCCGGGCATGTACCCTGACTGGGAAACAAACTGTGATCTTCTGATTTATAGGTCGATGCTCAATCACTGAGCCACACCAGCCAAATGATTACTTGATTCTTGTATGTACCCTTACATGGATCAAACCCATAACCTTGGTGTTTCAGGACAATTCTCTAACCAGCTGAGCTACCAAGCCAGGACTTTAAATGGGAGAATTGTATGGTATGTTAATTATATCTTAATAAAACTGTTTATAAAAAAGATAGTTATTTAACAAGTATGTGGAAAGAGTAGAACTCAGTGCATTACCATGAGTAAATTTATTTATGATTCTTTAAATCACAAAATAAGTCTGAATTTGATAACAAGTATTTGTTGAATAAATACATTCTGTTATTCTGAGTGCTGGAGACACAACAGGGGGGAAAAAACAAAGCCCCTTCCTGCTCTCAATGGAGTTTATTTTGAAAGGGGACAAACACTCTAACACCAAAACTGTGACATGATACAGCATGACATGATATGTAATGAGTAACATGAAGAAAAATAGAGTAGGGTAAGGGCTTGGAGGGAACAGGGAGGGTGGTCTGAATGATGACTAGGAAGTCAAAGGAAGGATTCACTGAGGAAATAACCTGTGAAGAATGACCCTAATGGGGGGACAAGGAGCAAGAGAGGAAACCTGAGGGAGAAGCAGCAACAGCAAATATAAGCAAATAAGAGGCAAAGATTCCACTTCAGATGTTAGACTGCTCCAACGCTTCCTTCAACACCTGGGCACACTGGAGTAGCTGCCTGCCTGCAAGGGGTGCCCTGGCCTGCTCTGTGGACTCACCTCCTCCCTTACTTACTAGGGGCTGCGCTATATGCCATTTCTGTCTCCCTCCAGGGTTGAAGTGGAAAGGGAGGAAGGACAGGAAAACTAAAAGCCCAAAGGTTCCGACTAGGCTAGCAGTCAAAATCTGTTTTACTCCACAGTCTCTGGGCCCAGCAAATCTTAAAGGGAATTTAAAAGCCGATTTCCATGGGTCCTTCTGAGTGTTCTTTGGATTGTCCCCACCAACCTCAACCCAACCAACGATGGCTTCTCTCAGATCCCCTGACCTGGCTAATAAATGCTATTCCAGTAACTGACCACTCCCTCCTCAGACCCAAAGAATGCTGGTGGTCCATTTACAGCCTATCCTCTAGTAAAGCCTGTTTGCCCTTCCAGGTGGCCCTCCCCATCTTTGCTAAACTAGGTATTCATCAGTCTTTTTATTTTAGTCATTCTAGTGTATCTAACTGTGATTTTAATCAGCACTTCTCTAATAACTAATGATGATGAAAATCTTTTCATGTGTTTATCTGCTATCAGTTTTTCTTTTTTGTAAAGGGTGTGTTTAAATCTTTAGCTGTTTTTTTACTAGGTTACTTATCTATTACTGTGATGTTCAAGTTCTTTATATATTCTGGATACAAGTCCTTTGTTATATATAGATATTCATGTAAATGTTTTATATGTTACTATAACCATAGCAACTTTATTTTGGTTGCTATTTGACTAGTGTTACTTTTACATCATTTCATGTTCAATCTTCTAAGTTTTATGTGTCTCTTTTAAATAGCAAGTAGTAAGCCTTAAATAACAATAATCTGATATTTGCAATTATTGTGATTACTGATATACTTGGATTTATTTCTATTACAACTTGTGATAACTTACCATGCAATTTATTTTGCTTTTTTCCAACTCTTTCCCTGTCTTTTAACATTACAGATATTTTATATTCTCTTTTCCCCCTGTAGTTTTAGTATTTATCCTTAAAATTTTTAAATGCATACTTAATTTTTCTAGTAAACGATGAAAACTACTCGGTGTTTCTATCTTCTTATCCCAAGATTGCATCACACCACCACATCCTGAATATTGTTCAGGGTAGTTTGCACTCTGGTAATTTAATTTCCTAATTAAAATGTAAAAGCTTAAAGTATTTTTATAATATATTTACCACCACACTTATCAATTTCTCCATTTATTGTTTCTTTTATCAAATGTCTTCCCTTTAAATTTACTTTCCTTTGTTGTTTTATTTTTTCTCTTTTGCATTTTTTTCTTCAGGAGGGGGTTGTTTTTTAGAAGTATATCCTTCAGTAGTTCTTCCAGTGAGAATGTCAGCGTATTAGTCTTTGTCTGAAAATGTCCTATTTTGCCTCGACTCTCGTCAGATAACTCAGCTGGCTATAAAACGCAGGTTGACATTTATTTTCTTTCAGCAACTGTGTAGTCTTCTACACAATTTGTTGGCCTGTCAATTCTTGTAGTTAATCTTTTTCTCTCTGGAAGCTTTTATTATTTGTTCTTTGTCCTTCATGTTCTGCAATGTGCCTAAGTGTAGATTTATTTTTATTTATCCTACTTGGTACACTATATATTTTTTATCTGAACACACAAGTTTGTCTTTACTTCCAGAAAAGTTTCAACCATTATTGCTTTTCCATTCTCCTCTACTCTTTTCTCTGGAACTCCTATTAATGTGTACCAGCACCTCCTTTAAGGGCTCTTTTATATTTTTATCTGTGAAATTCTTCAGCACATCAATTAAGTTGTAAAACAGTGGATTAGATACAGAGTTAGTCCATAACTGGTACAGCAAATCCACAATGCTACCAGAGACCCAAATGCTTTCTACTTTCCAAATGATCACACTCCACATATGCTTGCCATTCTCAATCACCATATGACTGCTCTACCTCCAACGCTGGGGGACTGTGCTGGGAAGACAAAGTAGGGTGGAGGGTCAACCCGTTCATGTCCATCCATTTTGAAGGGTTTTCCCAAAAGTCCCCACTTGGAAACTTTGGTTTATATCTACTAGCAACCACTACATGCAAGGGAGGTATAGGTTGTTTGTTTGTTTATCTTGGTCATACTGCTACCCTAAACAAAATTCTGTTCTATTATGAGGGAAGAGAGAGAATGGGCAAGAATTACTTGAATGGAAGTTTCTTTTTTCTTTCTTGCTTTGACTCACATTTCTTCCCCACTAATCCCCAACCTTGCCCTCACTCATTTTCTCCCTTTGGAGAAATTTTACTTACTTTCTTCATTCATTCCTTCAGCCCACCCCCACCCCACCCCCCACCCCCGAGGCCAGAACCATGTCTCATATTGGTAGTGTTGGGTTCCTGCCCCGTGGCTGATACGGGAATTACACATATTCATTCATTAAGCCAGTTGGAGGAGCTTGATCATTTTTTGATCACAAGCCATATAACTGGGCCCTCTCACTTCTTTGGGGCCACAGATAGAAATCTGCCTTGGTTCCAGTGACTGGTTAACAGAGTTTTGGTTGTTTTTTTGTTTTGTTTTGTTTTGTTTTGTTTTTAGTTCTTAGTGTGTTTTTTCTAGTTTTATTTCAGGAACAAAGAGTGCTACTCACCTCCTGGCTTCAAGCAATAAGAGTGCCAGGTCTCTCATCATGAGCAGAGCACTTTTAGACCCAAATACTTACAACAGCTGAACTTCTGGGTGGCCACAACCTTTCAGACCCAGAGCCTAGCGGGTCCTCAGACTCAGACCTACTCACCACTTAAATTTTTATTCTATATTCTTAAGCCCAGCTATATCTTTTTATATATTTATTATTTTATTATGCATATTTTATCTCCACTGCTGTGTAGACATGCAGATTGGATGTTTCAAAGCATGAATTTACAGCCGTTTTGTCTGGAGGCTCTCTTAAATTCAGATTGCCTTTGAAGGGCAATTCTCTAGTACAGATGCAAAAAATGACATGTCTCCACGGCTGCTTGATGGAGACTTTTGAACCACCCCACAATCTGAACCTTAGTCTAAGAGGGGAGAGAGTAGAAACTGGAAAGAATCTATATTGGGGATAGATAATGGCAGCTACTTCTAGTTTCCAAAAGCAGCTTCTAGTGTTAAGATTCTTCTGTCTGCTCTTGGTGCTACCAGTGCCTACCAGTGGAGACATGAGTATCTTCCAAAGGACTCCACAATAGAAGTTGGGGCCTGTATACTCTTTGGACCTCCCAGAAAGTCTATAATGTAAATAAATCTGGTTGATGCTTAAATTAGCCTGTGTTTTTTTTCTCACTTAAACCTAAGAATTCTTAAAAACAAATTTTGTGATGTAAGCATTAATAATGCTCATATTGTTTCTTTTAAAAGATGTGAAAAAGCATATATGATTTTTTAAAACTAAGATGATCAAATGAAGAATAATTCATTTTTGTCTTACCTTTCCCCCGACCAGAGGCAAAATGTGCATCTTTCCAGTTTGACAATCCTTCACTGAGGAAACGATGAGGCAGGTGCCACAGAGAACAACTAGGCGTTCAGCCCACTTATGCAGCTGGGTCTTCCCCTTGCGTACGTTATAGATGCCAGAGAGAAGGATTCGATCCAGTTGATCCATCTGGCATGGTTTCTCTGAAAAGAAAACAGTACTTTAGAAGCCACATTTTAAGTAGAATAAGAACAATAAAAGGGAAAAAGGAAGTATTATGTGTCAACATTCAGTAACCTTGTTTACAGATGGTAAGCAATCCAGAATATAAGTATTACAAAATAAGATCTTAGTACTACACGTTATCCATCACTGAAGTTATATAATGAGAGTACTATGAATTTTGGCTTAGAGAGCATACATAAGGGAGGCAACTGATCATTGTTTTTCTTTCTCATTGAGGTTTCTTTCTCTCTCCCCCTCACTTCCTCACTCTCTAAAAATCAATAAAAAACATATCCATAGATGAGGATTAAAGAAAAAAATTAAAAAGCACTGAACTGTATACTTTTAAAGGGTGAATTTTATGATATGTGAGCTATCCTATATAATAAAAGGCTAATATGCAAATTGACCAAACAGCAAAACTACCAGTCACTATGATGCGCTCTGACCACTGGGGACAGATGCTCACCGCAGGAGCTGTCCCCTGGTGATCAGTGCCTTCCCACAGGGGGAGTGCCACTCAGCCAGAAGCCAGGCTCATGCTGGCGGGTGCAGCAGTGCTGGCAGGAGCCTCTCCCACTTCCACAGCAGTTGAACATTCCCCAAGGGCTTCCAGACTGCCAGAGGGCACAGGCGGAGCTGAGGGAAAACCACCCCCCCAGCACACGAATTTCGAGCACCGGGCCTCTAGCATCTCAATAAAATAAAGTTGTTTGCTTGATTTTTACCTCATTATTTACCCCAAACCTGACATTGTTTTTATATTTCCCAACCTGGTTAACAGCATCATTTATTACCAAGTTCTAGTAAATATAAAAATGGTACTTCATTATAGTTTATCATGCTTCTAAATTGCTTATCAATCTCTTCTAAAGTTTACATTGAAACAAATGTTGCAACTGATGTATAATTCTTTGTCTCTTTTTTTTCTTAGTTTTATTTCTCTATATATTTTATTACAGAGGAAACTTCTAAATTTATCTATCATCACTCTCAGAAGGGAACATTCAATTCTGGTGGGGTGTTTTCTTTTCTCATTGAATTCAATATGTTTGAATTAATTAAGTTCAGTCAATTTGAATATTTTAGAAATAAGATCTTCAATACTTTTTTATTTTTCATGTACAGTTGACATTCAATATTATTTCATATTAGCATTAGTGTACAGCATGGTGGGTAGTCATTTATATAACTTATAAAGTGATCCCTCCAATAAGCAAGCTGTTTTATTATTAATTTTGGAGGGTTTATAAATATCCAGAGTGCCTCAAGTCTCTGATCTTCTGAAAGTGATAAAAATAAAAACACAAAATGAGGAAGTTCAAATAAGAATTTGGAATATCTGATAGCTCTCATTTTAAAAACTAGTTTTCTAGTTTCAAAAGCCAAAATTCTAAGTGGAAAATAAGGGATAATTTTAATATCCTTATATATCTATACTTTCAAATGTTCTAGAGAAAACGGATTGCTTTTATAATTGAAAAAAAAAATTTTTCCAAAAAGAGAATTAAGGGCAACCCTGTAACAACAAATATTTCCACTGCCTATAGCATAACATCTAAATATCATTTTTCATTAAAATGAACCATAAGTCCTTAAAAATGTTCTATTCCTACTCTGAGTCAGACAATGAAAAGAATAGCTTAGGACATTTTGTTGTGTAAGAACTTAATGGAAAATCCAGAATGCCATCAAAGGCTACTGGAGTCATGTTGGAAGGACGTAGAAGCCAACTGAAAAGAGCTCCTGCCTCAAAGAGAATGGCTGTAATGAACTGAAATAAATATATACAAGCCCAGATCTTAACGATACTCAGAATAAACAAAGAAAAAATGAAGTCATCCAGACAATGAATATAAATTGAAAGGCAAAACAATAAAGCTTCTAGCCGAAACCGGTTTGGCTCAGTGGTAGAGCGTCGGTCTGTGGACTGAAAGGTCCCGGGTTCGATTCCGGTCAAGGACATGTACCTTGGTTGCGGGCACATCCCCGGTGGGGGGTGTGCAAGAGGCAGCTGGTCGATGTTTCTCTCTTATCGACATTTCTAGCTCTCTCTCTCTCTCTCTCCCTTCCTCTCTGTGGAAAATCAATAAATTAAAAAAAAAAAGAGTAAGCTTCCTTAAAAAAAAAAACAACCAATAAAGCTTCTAGAAACTAATTTTTTAAAGTGTTAAATTGCACTATATGAAAATGAAGTACTTCCTGATTCTGATAACATGGAGAAAGCACACTCCACTGGGTCTCTCGCACTGAATGCACCTATAAGTCCTGGACAGAAAATACATGCAGCAGGTAGAAGAAAACCCCCAAAATTAAATAGTAGTGGGCCGGTTAGGGAAGAACAGAATTTAAAATACCACCTAATTGGAGGAGAACCAAGATGGCAGCCTAAGTAAGCACCTAAACTGCCGCCTCACACAACAATTTCAAAATAACAACTAAAAGACAGAACAAACATCATCCAAAACCACAGGAAAGCTGGCTGAGCAGGAAATCTACAATTAGAAAGAAGGAGAGAGGCTCACAGATCAGATCGGGAGCTGCAAAGCGCTGAGGTAGGGAGACGCTCGCGCAGAGAGGAAGGGTAGCCAAGTGCCGGGCTGGCGGGAGGGGAAGGGAAGCCCCCGACTCCATTGAACCCCAGTTCCAACTGCACTGAATCCCAGCCCTGTCCAAAACTCTGTGGACCCAGGCTCATATGGGTGGAGTCTGGACTGTAGAGAAAGGCACCCAGAGACTCAAGAGACTGGGAGACGTGGGGGAGCTGGGAGCTGCAGTGCACGAGTGAGTGCACGCAGAAAGGTCCTAAGCCATCAGTCAGACATCCCCCAAGGGCTCCCGGACTGTGAGAGGATACAGGCCGGCCTGAGGGAGTCCTCCCCCCCCCCAAGTGCACGAATTTCATGCACTGGGCCTCTAGTACCAAATGATAACATTTATGTAAATAAAATGCATTTCTAAACATACATACTTATAGGAATAAAACTTAGGAAATTCTGAACAGGTATATACCAAATTGGTAGTACTGATTATTAAATAGTGAATGAGGTTGGGAGGTGATTATAAGAAATTAAAACACTAAAGATAATAAGACTACATCAATATTTTACTTGCATATTTACAACTAAAAATTTTAAAAGAAAAAGTATATGGGTACCATAAAAATAACTATGTAGGAACGGTAAAATGTTTGTTTGTTTGTTTGTTTGTTTGTTTGTTTGTTTATTTATTTATTTATTTATTTATTTATTTTTACAAAGAGGAAGGGAGAGGGACAGAGAGTTAGAAATATCGATCAGCTGCCTCCTGCACACCCCCCACTGGGAATCTGCCCACAACTAAGGCACATGCCCTTGACCGGAATCAAACCTGGGACCCCGTAGGCCGATGCTCTATCCACTGAGCCAAACCGGTTTCGGCAGTAAAATGTTTTTTAATATATCAGTTCTACAATTTAAAATATTAACATGAGATAGAATGTTTTTACAATTTGAGGCAAAGATTAACTTTAACAATAATACCTGATAATGGAAAAGAAAGGTGTAGGAAATGAATACTGTCCTGCTAGCGATGAAAGTGTACACACTGGCTCTGCCCACCTGTGCAATTTAGGAATATGCTATTAAAATTTAAAAATACAAACACATTTTAACTCAAAAATTCTACTTGTAGGACTCACATTCTCCTCCTTCCATTCGAGGTCAGTCACTCTTCTGACTTTTATAATAAAAGTTATACTTTCTTTAAATTTTTACCATTTATATAAATGTCTTATGGTTATAGCATGTTAAACTAATGTAACAAAAAGAATGTAATGGCTTACATACAACAAAAATTTAATTCTCTGTTGGGGGAGAATTATGTGTTGTCAGAGGTCAATATTGTTAAGAATCTGAGGCTGATGGTGGCTTCAATATTGCTGTGATGATTGCATTCTAACCCTCAGAGGAAGATAAGAGCACAGAGAAGCACGTATGGATAGCTTTACAAACCAGATATAGAAGTAGCACACAACAATTCCTCCCATACCAGTGAAGAAAACTGAACCACATGTGCATACCCAACTGCAAAAAAAGCCAGAAAATGAGGTGTAAGTGGGAAGTCATGTGCCCAACCACAATTCTATTGCTATGGAAGAAGGAAAGAGCAGATTTCGATGGACAGATAGAACTGCCACATATCTCTAAGCCATATGGCTAAGTTATGCCTGTTTTTGAACTTTAAATAAATGGAAACATGTGATTCTTTTGCATCTGGCTTCTTTTGTTTGTGTTTATGTTCTTTGAAAAGAAACTGTCTTAAACATTGTGTGCACAGAATATCATACAGAAGGAAAAACTCAAGCTGGGAGTTATGCTACCTCACACCTTCCCTTCTAGACTGCATTTCCTCATACACAAGAAAGGAGTTAATACATATGTTCTCCATGACTGATCATGCTACCCACTCATCTTTAGTAAAATTTGTTATCTTCAACTTTTTATATCATGAATTTACACTGAGCCAGTCATTCCACTTACTTTTCCCCCAGCATTCCCTCTTCAGCGAGACTGATAACTACATTTTATATAATGGCTGCTTTCCCTTTTATATGTGGGAACCACAGAAACATTAACTAGTTTGAACTTAGGCCCTCCTGACCTTGGCCCTGTTAACACTATATTCTAACAAAATTAATTCACCAAAGACTACACGTGAAATTCTTAAAGCTGATTACTAAGCTATTTGCTTCAAAGAAAATACTTCAAAAATAACTTTCTTTCTGTTAACAGTAAGTTGTCTCTGGATTCAAAAGCTTCTTGAAGAAGCAAGGTGACAGGGAAGCATAACTTTTTGTGATGGTTTTAAGGTATGTCCAAAATTGATACTCCTCTCCTCAAACGGCGAGTCCTGATTCCCTTCTCTACAGTATGGGCTATATTTGTACTCACTTCCAGTATACAGAAAGTGGTAAAATACAGCTCATGAGAGCAGATCATAAAAATCACGGAGGCCTGTGTGTGTGTCTCATCACTGGCGGAAGCTAGCTATCATGTCATAAAGACACTTAGGTAGACCTATAAAGACAGGTTCAAAGATCTTTTGAAAAGCCAAAGACCTTCTCCAGGTAAGGAACTGGAGCCCTTCTACCAACAGCCATATGAGTGAACCTTGTTAGATTTGAATCTTCTCAGAGCCAAATATCAACAGTACAATGATTGAAATTTCTTTTGAGAGCCAAGTTTTTTAAACTTAAACTTTTTCTAACACCACTTCTACAAAACAGACTCACCAAGACCGTGGTATTTTGTGGAAGAGCCACACTCAGGGGCCAAAGAGCCACATGTGGCTCGCGAGCCAGTTTGCCGACCACGGTTCTAGTCCAACTTAAGCCTTCAGGTTAACATCACTTCAACCAACAGTGACTACAATATCATGAGACCCACGTCAAAAGCATCCAGCTAAATCTCTCCTGATTTCTGACCCACAGAAACTACTAAATATTTATTATCATTTTAAGTCAATTTTGAGGCAATTTGCTACATAGCCAATTACACTTTACTATAGATATATGTTTACCTTTTGTAAATACATATATTGCCTTTTAAAAAATAATGTTTTTAAAACCTCTTGCCCAAACATAATTTACTCATTCAAATTATATTAAAGCATGATTTCATCAAGATTCTGACAAAGGTAAAAAAATAATTCTATTAAGTCAGCAAAACACTTTTTTTAAAAAAATATATTTTATTGATTTTTCACAGAGAGGAAGAGAGAGGGATAGAGAGTTAGAAACATTGATGAGAGAGAATCATCGATCAGCTGCCTCTTACATACCCCCTACTGGAGATGTGCCTGCAACCAAGGTACATGCCCTTGCCCGGAACCGAACCCGGGACCTTTCAGTCCGCAGGCCGACGCTCTATCCACTGAGCCAAACCGGTCCCGGCAAGCCGGCAAAACACTTTTTGTTTAAAAGAGCAAAAATAAAAAGAAATTTTTTTTTTTATTGATTTTTTACAGAGATGAAGGGAGAGAGAGTTAAAAATATCGATGAGAGAAAAACATCAATCCTGCATACTCCCCACTGGGTATGTGCCCACAATGAAGGTACACAGCCTTGACCAGACTCCAACCTGGAACCCTTGAGTCCACAGGCTGACACTCTATCCACGGAGCCAAACCGGTCAGGGGAAGAAAAGATATTTTTGGCTAAGTCTTCCATTAACCACCACTCCTTGTTTATGTCGTTTAACTACATTAGTTCATTGGCTTAAAAACAGATTTTAATGAAATTCTTTTTCAAAGCTGAAGACAGACAGAGGCATAAGTGATCCACTGAAAAGCAGTCAGCATGTTCACAAAGCCACTGGTAAGTTCTTACCACCATAAAACCGAAGCATGCAGCCGAGGTCGGGATTGGCGGCCTCCTCCTGTATGCGCGCAGGGTCGTCATAGCCCAGCCTGGACAAGTAATCATAAACAATCTGAAGAGGCCGTTCGGTGGGTTCCAGTCTCCTGCTTGCACAATTCAAAAGAAAAATAGTTAGTAACTAATAAAAATGCTTCATGTCATTCTTTAAATCTTTTACTATGCTTTAGATGTTCAATTCTATATCAAGGTTTTCTTTAATATCATGTGATAAAAACTAATCTAAGGAAGTGGTGCTGGAAGGTTTTGGTTCCAGGATCCCTCTGTGGTCTCTGAGGACCCCAAAGAGCTTTTGTTTATATGGGGATTGATATCTACTGAATTAGAAACTAAAATTAAGAATTTCCAAACTTTTGTTTATTCGATTCCTGATTTTTTTGTTTGTTTATTCATTTTTAAGCAACAATAAACCAATGATGTTAACATAAATAATACTCTTTGAAAAATATCTTTTCTAAAATAAGTCAACTTTGAAGAAAAGAACAGCACTGTTTCACACTTTTGTAAAATGCTAGTTAAATAGGAAACAGCTAGATTCTCAGATCGGCTTCTAAATTCAATCTATTGTTGTAACATACTATTTATAGAAAACTCTTCTATACACGCATGAGAGACTGAAAGTAAAAAAGAAAATCAATGACTTAATATTATTATAAAATAATTTTGTCCTCACAGACCTCTTCCAAGAGTATCAGGGACCTCTACAAGGTCCATTAAGAACCTCTGGTCCAAACTTAAAGGCAGCAAAATTACCTATACTAATAAAAGCCTATGTGGTCCTCGCGCCCATCATCATCACAAGATGGCCACCACAAGATGGCCACACGCACAGCAGAGGCAAGACCTGGGGGCTGCTCCACACAGTAAGGCCTGGGAGTCCCGTGGTTCTGTGCAGCGCAAAGGCCAGTCCCGATGTCTCTGCCACCTCTTATGGAGGAGGCGGGTCCCAGTGGAGGAGGTGGGTTGTGGCAGGGGATGGCAGTTGGGGGTGATCGGGCCAGCAGGGGAGGGCAGTTAGGGGCTATCGGGCCAGCAAGGGAGCGATTAGGGGAGATTAGACTGGCAGGCAAAAGCAGTTGGAACAATCAAGCAGGCAGGCAGGCGAGCGGTTAGGAGCCAGTGGTCCTGGATTGTGAGAGGGATGTCCCAGATTGGAGAGGGTGCAGGCTGGGCTGAGGGACACTGCCCCCACCCCCATGCACAAATTTCATGTACCAGGCCTTTAGTGAGATATAAAAGGTTATGCTTGGTCGTATATGGAAACATCCTATTATAATTCTAATGTTCAAATGATCAAATCTCCTCTCCTAAAAAGGCTCTATAGATTGATGTACTATAGAACTAAACACCTGAAACCTAGAGTTTTATTAACCAATGTCACCCAATAAATTCAATAAAAAATAAAATTTTAATAAAGTCTCTGATTTTGAAACCTCTCTGTATTATAATATTCACCTAAAGAAAGTATTTTCCCTGGTAGGAAAAAAAAATCAAGAGGATCTCCACATCTGCTCTTATTAATTTAGCATAAATGAGTAAACAAGAGCTATTTCAAGAACTGCAAAAACAAGTAAAATGAGGGACTAATTCCATTTACTTATTAAACTCATCTGCTTAAAAAAGTAGAGTAAGGGGGAGGGAAAAGCTGTAAGATGCTTACAGATCAATTTTATGTTTCAAAGTTCCAAGCGTTTAACAGGCTGGTAATTAGCTTTTTGTTAAAACTCTCACATATCAAGGGAAAATTATAATACAGTATTGTTTAAAAAGTGTAGGAGAGAGTAATGTTGGCAATGAAAGGATCGCAACACTCAGCATCTGAAATACTTCTAACTGGCTTTAAAGAAGGACAGTAAGACTACTGAAATCGTTTTAGTTTGCTTCTAAGGTTTCTAGTAGTTACTATGTCGTTGTGAGAGGCAAAAGTTTATATCAATGACCTTAACAAAACAGTGCAGCATTCTGGACATAAAGTTCAGATTAAAAATCAATCCCTGGCCACCAATAAAGGTAAAATCTGCAAATGTTAAGATCAGCATTATAAATAATAAGACAAACAGTAACAATAAGGACACTTCATTGAATGTCTACTCCATGCCTGATGCATGACTAGAAGTGTTTTACATTTTACAAGGCTATGCTTATTTTGCAAAAAAGAAAAATGGGGCTCAGAGAGTCACATAATTAGTACATAATGGTTATCAAGGTTTCCACCTGTATTGGTTTCATTACAAAACCTAACTTCTTTTAGGTAAACCACGTTATTTTACATAGTCAAAATAATTTACACAGAAGAGAATGCAAAGCACTTCATATGTTAACTTATACCTAAAAGCTTGTTTTAAATTACTTTATTCCATTAAGTCTAATACACTATCATTTGAAAAATACGCTATTTTTGTCCTGGCTAGTATGGTTCAGTTGGTTTGAGTATCGTCCCGTATACCAAAAGGTTTTGGGTTCAATTTCCAGTCAGGGTACATACCTAGGTCACAGGTTCAATCCTTGATTGGGGCATATAGAAAAGGCAACCAATTGATGTTCTCTCTTACATTGATGTTTTATATTTTTCTCTCTCTAAAATCAATAAGCATATCCTCAGGTGAGGATTATATATATGCTATTTTTTATGTATCACTATTGTACAATAAAGAATCTTAGTGTTTGTCCTTAGTAACTGGGAGGGGAGATTCTAAATCCTTGGAATTTCCTGAGTAATGCGAGTGTTTTATTCATGAGCCCCTGGCATCACCCCTGAGTTTATACTAAGAGATATGATGACTCAGGATAGGGGCTGGTCACCAGAAAGACCAACCACATGATGAGAGGATTTGGCTGGAACTAGGAGTCAGCCTATCTTGGGGGTGGAGTGAAGGCTGGAAGTTGCGTTTCAAGCACATGGTCATTCAAATCTACCCAATAAAAACTGTATCCAAGTTCCATGGAGCTTCCTGGTAATGAACGCATTAACGTCCTGGGATGGTGACATGGAAGTTGGGAAGTAAGTTCTACCTTCAGGACCCTTATGTGTCTCCTCATTTGGCTGGATGAGTCCTGATTTGTATCCTTTATACTAAAACTGTAATTGTAAGTGTATGCTTACAATTCAAAGTCATTCTAGTGAGTTACTGAACCTGTAGGGACCAAGGCAACCTCCTAACTTGTATCCAGTAGGTTAGAAATGTGGCCGGCATGTGGAGTAAGGGTAATCTTTTTGGGGACTACGCCCTTAAACTTGTGAAGTCTTTGCAAACTCTGGTGGTTAGTGTCAGAATTGTATTGTAGTAAACTAGATGGTACTGCAATACCACTAAGAAGAAAAAATAAAAAAAAATAAAAAAAACACTGCCAATTAAATTATGACCCACCAACAACTCTAAAACATAAGCTGATTTCAAAAGTATTAAAATAAAAAAAGAATCGCTTCTCAGCCTTTTGGCTAAGATCAAGTGTAGTATCTGTTCTTATCAGTTTAAAACAAAAAAAGAATTGCCGAAACCGGTTTGGCTCAGTAGATAGAGTGTTGGTCTGCGGACTGAAAGTTCCCAGGTTCGATTCTGGTCAAGGACATGTACATTGGTTGCGGGCACATCCTCAGCAGGGGGTGTGCAGGAGGCAGCTGGTCGATGTTTCTCTCTCATCGACATTTCTAGCTCTCTATCCCTCTTCCTTCCTCTCTATGGAAAATTAATAAAATATATTTTTTTAAATAATAAATAAATAAAATTAAAAAAGAATTTAAATAAAAACAAATTAATGTATAACACATTCTTTTTTTGTTGTTGTTAATCCTCACCCCAGGATATGTTTTCAATTGACATTTTAAAGAGTAGAAGGGGGCTGAAACCGGTTTGGCTCAGTGGATAGAGCGTTGGCCTGTGGACTGAAAGGTCCCAGGTTGAATTCTGGTCAAGGGCATGTACCTTGGTTGCAGGCACATCCCCAGTAGGTGGTGTGCAAGAGGCAGCTGATCGATGACTCTCATTGATGTTTCTAACTCTCTATCCCTCTCTCTTCTTCTCTGTAAAAAATCAATAAATTTTAAAAAATAAAAAATAAATAAAGAGTGGAAGGGGGCAATGGGGTGAGAGAAAGAGAGAGAAACAGAGAGAGAGAAACATCAATGTCAGGGAGACACAACCATTCTTTACTTCCAACACATACCCTGACCAGGGCCAGGGATCGAATCTGCAACTGAGGTATGTGCTCTTGACTGGGAATTGAACCCAAGACCCTCCGATACCCCGGTCGATGCTCTAACCACTGACCAATGCTGGCTAGAACCAAAAGACATTATTTTAAAGTTTTAAAACAGTATAGAAATATGAAGCACAAAACAAAAATAATCTTTTTCCTTCTTCAGTGATAATCCATTCAGTGTGTATGTGTGTGTGTGTAAGTGTGTGTGTGTGTGTGTGTGTGTGTGTGTGTGTGTTTTAAATCCTCACCAGAGGATATTTTCCCATTGATTTTTAGAAAGAGTGGAAGAGTGAGGAAAAGAGAGAGAGAAATATCAATGTGAGAAAAACACATCCATTGGTTGCCTCCTGCATGCACCCCGACCAGGGCCTCGGCCAGGAGAAGCCTGCAACCAAGGTACATGCCCTTGATCAAAACTGAACCCAGAACCCTTTGGTCCGCCATCAGATGCTCTATCCACGGAGCCAAACCAGCTGGGCAGTATATATTCTTGATATAGTAGGCATAAGCAGATTAAGGAGGATAGGCCAGGTACTGAAGCTCACCAGGAAGGAAAGCCCCAAATGCTAAGTAACTGGGAAAACAATGTTGATGGGACCTCTCCCCCACATGACCTTTCCTCCCTAGCAAATTGCTGGTCATGCAGTTTAAACCTCTCACCTTTCAGATCACTGGTCATGTATCTGGGACTCTCCCTTAACCTTTCCTCCCCAGCATGTTGCTCATCATTTGGTAGAACAAGGAGCCAGAGAATAGTCTCATATGAGTCCCATACAAGCCTTTATTCCACCTCTCCCTTAAGCTCTCAGGACAATGAGGCTCTGACCTGCAACAAAGCCTTGGGGCTGCAACAAAGCTAGACAGACAAGAGCAGAGTAAGGAAGAT